TCATTTCAGATTCGATACGAATTTCATTCGTTTGTGACACTAAAAGTCTTTGTTAAATCACTTCTAGTGCGATGTTCATATGAAACACAAACATTTTAATTTTAATCCTCAAAACAGTGAAAATGTCAAACATGTCGCATAAACGAGTTTTCTTCCTCTGAACAAACAACAAAACTGTAGCTCTGTGACAAACAAATACTCTCGGCGATATATCGATACAGCAGCCCACAATCCCGATACTGTATCATCACATTAAATGATACGATATATTGATATTTCGATATTTTTGCACACTCCTCTAGTCCCAGTTGGTCTCGAGTTCTTTCAGTGAATCGGCCCGGACAGATGTGAGGCAGATTTGTAGCAGGAAGGATTTTATTATGACCAGAATTTCAAAATAAAAAAGTGGGATACTGCACTGTACTGTATATATACTATATACTGTATCGTCACATTAAACAATACAATATATTGATATTTAGATATTCTTGGCCCCCACTCAGGTCCTACAGAGACACACATACAAAATGTCATTACAACAGAATCATTACAAAGACTCTCCAACTACAGCACTTGTTGAGAGCAGCAGTTTGCACAGACCTGCACATCCACACACACATTTACACATTTACACATTTATACTGATGCTGTGAACTGGAGAGAAGAAACGAGACGTGTAAGACCAAAAAATCCTGATATAAACGTGGAACATCATTTGATCAAAACCTGCAGCACTTTTGTTTAAGATGCACGGATGAAGTGTCGGCTTTTCCAGGTTCTACAGACGTAACAATCTGCCGTTTGTACCAGTGAGAGCTTTTGTCTTTACGTTGTTTGTAAAATGAAGTCATCTGCCTCTTCAGAAAGTCCATACTTGACTGTGATTGGTTAAATCAGCTGTCAGTCATTCAGAGGAGGAGGAGAGGCTCATGATCCTGAAGCTCTAAACGTCTCCAGCTCCAGAAGAAGAATCCTCCTGATCTCTGTGCGTTCAGAACAAGAATCCACCTCGACCTGCTCCTGCTGACGCCGCTGAGCTGCACCGCCTGGTTCTGACCAATCACAGAGCAGCGCTGCGGTGTGGGCGGGGCTAAACGAACCAAAACAAACAGACGTACTTCAGTGTGTTTGATCAGAATCGCAGACTGTTCAGGTGGAAAACGTGCAGAAGAACGAGCTTTGGGCTTTTGTAGAGGAAAGACGTCTGAGCCAGAAGTCGAACCAAGTCTTAAAGGTTGCACGGAGGATTTTTTTTTTTTTTTTCAAATTGTCAATGAAAGTTTAAAATACCATTACAGAGACGCAGCAGCTTTGTAATTATGATGACCAAAAAAAAAAAAAAAGAATGAAAATCCATCAACTGTGGACGTGTTGAGGCCAGATAAACATCAGCCAATAGAAAACCAGGCTCCCTCATTTTCTATTGGCTGTTAGGTTGTCAATCAAACTCTCTACGTTTCTAGTGTAACTGACTCGCCAGCGTGTGGGGATTACATGATTTATGCAGCGGTTCTTAGAGGTTTTTTTTAAACTGTCGCTTCCTCGCAATTCACACAAAGTTTGTTGAGATGTCGGACGAGAATCCACGACCAGTTCGCCGCAAAAGAAAGTCGGTTTTTGAGGTCGCTGAAAGAAGAAGAGAAGGAGAAAAGGAGCGAAGACAAACTGAGGTGATTCTTGGAGATTTCTTCCAGCGATGGCGCGACTGAAGCAGACGAAGGGTCTAAAAACTGATAAACTGATCACTAAATTATTTCTAGACAGGAAACTTCAACAGTAATTCTGAACGTGCACAGATGTAAACAAACGTGATTTCTAGAGTAAAGAGGCGGGAGGAGGAGGTGTTTCTACTGAGGCTGTGGAGGAGGAAGTTGGTGTCACATGCACAAGGACGGTCGCTGTATTTCTCTCCCCTTAAAAAATTCTCTATACAACCTTCAAGTCTCTGACCTCTAGTCCACATCAAGTCCCAAGTCAAAAACGGGCAAGTCCAAGTTGAGTCCCGAGTCACTGGCCCAGAAGTCCAAGTCAAGTTCAAGTCGTTTGCTTTGAGCTTCAAGTCATTTCAAGTCTTTAAACCAAAGCGCTCAGATTTTTGCAATTTATATGAATTTCTTAGGGTCAGAATAAAATGAATTAAGATTTAAAAGTGCTAAAAGTTATTTTGTCATGAATCGGGATGTAACAATGAGCAGAATATCGTGATATCGTATCGTCAAAAGTCTCAAAATAATATCGAGAGCCGTCGCGATATACAAATCGAATCACAAGTTTGTTTGCTTAAATGCAGGTTTTATAGAAGCAGCAGTTTATAAACATCAGGAACTACATTTCCCATGATTCATTTCAGCTCAGAAAACATGAAGAAATATGTTTTTGACTTGAATTCTTGGGATTATGACGGAAATAATTCACACCAAAGTCATGTCAAGGTATTTTAAATGCAAAAAGTGCCCTGTTTAAGTGTTGAAAAATGGAAAAAAAAAAGGATAACAGACGTTTCCCGTTTACGTGACGTCCATGAAGGTGATGTCGGATTTTGCACTGCATACGGACTGAACCAAGACTGATCCAGTTTCGGGACCAGACCAGGACCAGAGCGGGACCAGACCAAGATCAGAGTGGACTGCAAGCTTTGACTCTAAGCCTCAGCTTCGAGCTCAGTCCCTGCCGTGGGCTCTGAGCTTCCGGTCTGGTCCCGGTCTCAGTTCTGAGTTCTGAGTTCTGATCTCAGTCTCTCTGGTCTGGTCTCAGTCTCAGTCCTCCTCTGGTCCCAGTCGTTTTTTTTCCATTTTCCAACACAAAATCGAAAACTGAAAAAACAAATCATGATCTGTTTTTTCATTTTGGTTTTGGAGACAAATAATGAAGAAAACCGTTGTTTTTTTCATTTTCTTACTTTTGGTTTTATTTTGAAAAACGAATGAACGACACACAGATGGAGCTGGTCTTGCTTCAATTTCATCTGTGGATTTTTCTTTTGACTCTTTCGTATTTTATTTATTTTCTGCTTCACACACACACACACACACACACACACACACACACACACACACACACACACACACATCAGACTGCTGTGTCATTTGTGCTGAGTCTCCTCGTGTGTGGGCAGGTGGAAGGGTCCGGGTGAGGGGGGTGGGGTGCTCGTGTGTCTCTGTGTGTGTGTGTGTGTGTGTGTGTGTGTGTGTGTGTGTGTGTGTGTGTGTGTGTGTGTGTGCGGCGGGTCCCCGGGGGGCTCTGTCTGCTCGGTCGCTCCGCCTCAGAACAATGGCCCTGTCAGTGTGGGACAGATTGGGAGGCAGCTGCATTGTTGACGACGGCACGACAGACACACTTCTCCCCCGCGACCTCTGACCCCCGACACACACCCACCCCCACCACCCTCCCCTCCTCCCCCCCTCGTGGTGCAGACGGTGGGACACCCGGCTGCTGCTGTTTCTGCTGTGGTACGTTCACCAGGACAGAGCCGTGCCCCCCTGGGTGTCGTTAAAGTGGAGGGACACTCCCACCAGAGCCGCTCCATTATGAACTAACTCATGATCACGATTATTTTGGTCAATATTGAAATCACGATTATTTTTTTGAGTTACACGATGCTTTTATTCAGCATTTCTCTCTAAAAAAAACACTCTGTTATTGATAATTTACGCAAAACTTTCAAATTAAAAATAAATACTACAAAGGCTACAGATCTGAACCTTAGAGCTGTTTTGTGACATATAAGACCTAAAATTAAATGAAATAAGGCAAACAAAAACATAAATGTGTCCAAATTAAACTTTATATCCAGCTGTTCTACAATGAATGTTCTTCAATGTTCTAAAAAAATCTAATAAATATACTTATTTATATCAAAAATATCCCAAAATAAACTTTCTTAAGCTTTAAGTCGTGAGTTTGGACATCGTTTGACACACAAATCGAAATCAGGATCAAAATTCGATTAATTGCACTTGACTTAACTCAGACCTGTCACACAAAAGCAGATTTAAAGCTGTACCATGTAACTTTTCAGGTGGGGTTCTATCACCTGCTTGTTTCTATGGGTACGTCATTGCTCTACTTCAGATGTTCCACAGTGTGACTTTAAAGAGCTCTACTTTACAGATGCTTACCTAGAAATATTCTGCATTGTGACTGTGAATCTGAAGTCTGCTCTGCTGTTATTCTCTTCTTAAACTCACTGTGCTATCACTTACTCTGTGCTATATTAGTTTTTACTTCTTGTGTGCTGCTGACTGTGTTACTGCATGTCTCCTGCAGAAAGAGCCTCTGTTCTGTCTGTATCATGTCAGTCGATCGCACCGTTACTTCTGCACCACTGAACAATTTAACATTTAAACTTTAAACTTATAAAGACAAAGACTGAGAAGACTGAACACTAACACAACATGAACATGAAGATCAGGAAGAGAATCGAACAACAACAGTCAGACAGGTGCATTGATAACACAGCCTGATGTGTCACAAACATCCCCTTAGTAACACTCACACTCTCCTCGGGGTCACATTCACCCAAAGACATTTTTTTCCTTCCCACTCTCTTGGGGCGGGTCAGTCAGACCCAAAAATGTATTTTCTTGTTCCACTGATGCTGTTGTGCATAAACACAGAGACAGACTCTTCTCCAGCCTCTCACTCCTCGATCCTCCATTTCACACAAACTCACCCTAAAACTCACTCGCTGTTTCATTAAATGACGACCTGGATTTCTAACGTCTAATCATTACAAACACAAAGCTACAAACAATGTCTCACCAAAAGCGATTTCTCTTTAGACAATTGTGTTGGAAGTATGTTTTCTGCTGCACATGTGCATTTAATAGAAACGGCTGCTCGTCTCCCGTTACACACACACGTTACATCTGCGAGAAGAAGAAGAAGAATACTCCAAGATGTATTTCCTGTGAATGGCTTTACTCTCATAATCCTTGTTTAATGACTCTAGCAGCGTGTAATGTGACTGATGATGTTAACACTCTCTCCCTCTCCCCCAGTCTGAGCCCTGAGCCCTGAGCCTGAGCCCAGCATCAGAGGCTGGTCCTGGTCCTGGTCCTGGTCCTGGTCCCGGTCCTGGTCCCCACAGCGGCCCTGGGGTCAGAGCTGTAACAGCTGGAGCCTGGATGAGTGAGAGGTCTGATGGGCCTGAAGGACCAGGGGGATGGGACAGGCCACATCCTGGAGCTGGAGTATCTGCACGTGCCCGGGACCCAGAGAGCACCTCAGGGAGAACCCGGAGAGCCCAGCAGAGCACCCGATGGAGCACCCAGCGGAGCACCCAGCGGAGCACCCCAGAGACCAGCCACACCCAAGGGAGCGGCGGGGGCGAGTGCAGGAACAGAGGAGGTCAGTACAGATGCCCTCCCGTCATCCTCTATCCCTTTATGTCAGATGCCCTCCCATCACACTAAGACAAGACGCCACTTTTCTTCCTGGGATCCAGTTAGGATTTGGTTTATAAAGAAAATATTTACACCTTTTTCATTCATACAAAAATATCGCATTTTTATACAGCACATTTCCACCTTCAAGACTCAAAGTGTTTTACAACAAGGAACCACTCACCCAGTGATGTTCTGTTTATGTTCAGAGGAGAATTTGAGCTGCCAACCTTTAAATCGGGGACAGATGCTCTACCAACTCTATAGTCTAAACCAGACATGTCAAACTCAGGCCTGGGGGCCAAATATGGCCCTGATATAATTATATTTGGCCCTCGAGATCATATCAAATCTGTATTAGAGCTGCTGCCGCACACAGATCGACAATAGAGTCTTTATTTATTTAAATGTTGTTATTATTTTATATTATCCTTGTTCTGGATTCAATGTTTAAGCAAAACTATTATTAAACATTCATTTTAATAAGAGAAGGTTTAACATTACACATGTTGTAAGAAGAGAAAACCTGCAGATGTTGTTGAAATGTTTTAAATAATATTAGTTTGGCCCACGACTTAGTCCCAGTTTTTAATTTTGGCCTCTGTGAATTTGAGTTTGACTCTCCTGCTCTAAACAGTCTTGTCTCTTCTTGTGGTTTTTTAGGAGGTGTGTGTTGCTTTCACCTTCAGTGACAGTGAGGACGACCCAGGCTCCTCCTCCGACCCCTCTGACCCCTCCTCTGACCCGCCCTCTGACCAGCGCTCCCAGGTGGACTTCGCTCTTAAGCTGGGGTACCCGGAGGAGCAGGTGCGGCAGGTGCTCAGGAAGCTGGGGCCCGGCGCTCTCACCAACGACATCCTGGGCGAGCTGGTGAAGTTCGGGACCAAGTCGGAGTCCCCGGCCCTGGCGGGGGGGTCGGCCGCGGCCCTGTCGCCCCTGCACCCCCGCCGCTCGCCCTGCCCCGCCCAGTGGACAGAAGACAAGGACAACCTGCGGCCCGTGGTGATAGACGGCAGTAACGTGGCCATGAGGTGAGAGAGATTTCAGACAGAACAAAGTCCACTCAGGATCCAACGTTTAATGTGTCGAGAGAACGGAATTCATTTCTTTATTCTTGGGTTTAAAACTTTGGTGACGGTTCCTGGTCATGGGAGTTAAGCAATTGAAATCAAAGTATTATAATTTAGAATGTGGAATTGAGAAAGGTCCTCAGTCCATGTTTCATTCGTTTATTCATTTTTCAAAATAAAACCAAAAATAAGAAAACGAAAAAAAAACCAAACTATTTTCTTTATTATTTGTCTCCAAAACCAAAATGAAAAAACAAATAACAACTATTTCCCGTTTCTGTGACTTAAACTGCGATGCCGGACTGAACCAGGACTAAAACCGGTCTCAGTTCTGGTTCAGTCCTGGTTCAGTCCTGGTCTCAGTCCTGGTTCAGTCCTTTATCTGTTCCATTTTCCAATTGCAACACAAAATTGAAAACTGAAGAACTGAATCGTGATCTGTTTTTTAATTTTGGTTTTGGAGACAAATAATGAAGAAAACAGTTGTTTTTATCATTTTCTTATTTTTGGTTTTATATTGAAAAACGAATGACGGATTGTCCTCTTCGGGTCTCAAAGTCCGGTCGATTTGCTGAGTTTGTGTGAATCATGCTGGTTCGTGTTAGTTTGACTTTATTTTCATTATTTTACTCCAGAAACAGTTAAAATGCCAAATGAACATATTTATCTTTTTTATTGACATTCATTCTGATCTCCCTTTTTCTCGTAGTCATGGAAACAAGGAAGTGTTCTCGTGCCAGGGCATCCAGCTGGCGGTGGATTGGTTCCTGGAGCGAGGTCACCGTGACATCACAGTTTTTGTTCCCGCCTGGAGGAAAGAGCAGTCCCGGCCTGACGCGCCCATCTCCGGTAACTCCACTTTACCCACCACAGCGTTCCTTTTACATTTAATACATTTATCCAGATTTTTCTTTTGAAACTGGAACAACAAAAAACAAAAAATAACAAACTCTCTCAGTCACCGCCACAGAACTCTAAGCAAATCTTTGACGCATCATGTTGTTTTCAGTGTCTTTGACTCATGGGCCCAAAAATAATTTCCTCTTCCACATTTACTTCCTGAATCCGAGTGAGCTCCTCCTACGAAATTTTAAAAAGTTTATGTTGCAAAAATAGAAAAGAATCCTACAAAATCTGACCTTTGTGAAGCCGGACGCCCTGTCAGAACTCGGACAGGTTGAATTCCCATTTCAGGAGAATTCTTTCTGAGCACAAACTCCCAGAGCTGCAGTACCTGGAGTGACCACTAGTCTGTCTGGAGTCAGGACAGAGGGGGCGGGGCTTATCCTGGTTTTATTACAGATCCACGGTCACCACTGACTCCCCGACACTTCTGTGGTCCAGGTTCGACTCACAGCAGCGAGAGTCGAGAGTGACGGGACCAGGCGAGGCAGACAGACACGGGGGCATTGTGTAAAACTGACTTTTTTGGATGTTTCTCTCATGTTCTCACTTTGTTCCCTCGTTGAAAACATGTCTGAAGAAGTTTTACATCTCCTCCATGCATGTTTGAGTAATCTAGTGATCTTGCAACAAACGGGAACATTAAAACCTCATGTAAAAATGTTTGTACCCTCATTTGAGGCACGAAAAATAATGACACTTAATCTGAAACCCAGATGCCCGTCAGTTTGGTCTGGGTAGAGCTAAAACAGGAAGAAGGAAACAGAGAGAGGCAGACTGACAGAAGCGAGGAGTCCAGGTGTTCAGTTGGACTCGGATGGACTCAGTTGGACTCAGTTGGACTCAGATGGACTCAGATGGACTCAGATGGACTCAGATGGACTCAGATGGACTCAGATGGACTCAGATGGACTCAGATGGACTCAGTTGGACTCAGATGGACTCAGATGGACTCAGATGGACTCAGATGGACTCCCGTCTGAACACTGTCCCTGTGCCCACAGAGCAGGAGACCCTGCGGCGCCTGGAGAAGCAGAAGATCCTGGTGTTCACCCCGTCCCGGCGGGTGCAGGGCAGGCGCGTGGTCTGCTACGACGACCGCTTCATCGTCAAACTGGCGCACGAGTCCGACGGCATCATCGTCTCCAACGACAACTACCGCGACCTGGCCAACGAGAAGCCGGAGTGGAAGAGGTTCATAGAGGATCGACTACTCATGTACTCGTTCGTCAACGACAAGTAAGAAGCAACATACTACACTGTAGTACACCAAACCTACAGCACACTGTACTGCACTACTACACTACTACACTACTACACTACTGTACTGCACTACTACACTACTGCACTACTACTACTGCACTACTACACTACTGTACTGCACTACTGCACTACTGCACTACACACTACCTCACTCTGACCTCTGCTCTCACCAGGTTCATGCCTCCAGACGATCCTCTGGGGCGTCATGGGCCCAGCCTGGACAACTTCCTCAGGAAAAGACCCGTCATCCCAGAAAACCGGAGGCAGCCGTGTCCTTACGGTAAATCACTTTTACACATTAATCTCTTTCTGAAAAAGCTTTTTGGGGTTTGTTCTCTGGATGTGGTTCCAAATCCGTGAGGTAACTCACTCTGCTCATGTCCACAGGGAAGAAGTGCACGTACGGGCACAAGTGTAAGTTCTACCACCCGGAGAGGGGCGCCCAGCCGCAGCGGGCAGTGGCAGACGAGCTCCGGGCCAGTGCCAGAGCCTCCAGTGTCTCCAGAGGCTTTGTGGACGACACCATCTCAGGGACAAGCCAAAGTGTGCAGGAGGAGGAGGGACCGGAGCCCTGGCAGAGCACCCCAAAGAAGCAGTCGTGCTCCAGCCTGACAGGGTCCCTCACAGACCTGTGCGACGAGCGCAGGAAGCTCCACTCGCGCAGAGGCAGCAGCAGCAGCAGTAGCAGCAGCAGTGGGTGCAGTAGTTTCTTGGGGTACCCTGCACCCCCGTCTCCTGGGAGTCTGGACAGATGGGACCTGATGGGCAGTGGCAGTAACAGTGAGGGCCTGAAGTCTGTGAGGGACTCCAGATGTGAGTCTCCTGAAGTGGGCTACAGCTCTATGGTCAAGGCTTACTCTGGCCTGAGCCTGGAGTTTCCAGACTGTTCAGATCAGTTTTCCACAGCCCCAGAGCTCAGACCAGAGTCTCTGTTTTCAGACTGCAGCAGTGACGGCAGCTCCAACATCTTCTCCCCTGATCTTTCCTCAGACTGTGGCCCGAGGGTTCTTCCTGTGCCCAGGCGTTACCCCTGTGCTCCCGCACACACGGGCAGGGCTAAAGAGCACACTGCACCCGTCTATTCTCAGGACATGCCAAAACAGTACAGCTTAGAAACAAATTTCAGTCTGGAAGAATCTACCTCCTTTCAAACAGGAAGTGCAGGGCACAGACTGCACAGTCCTCAGGGTTTGTCTCTGGACAGCAGCAGCTCCTCTGTGAGTCACAGGTCGCTCTTGTCCATCGCTAAAGCTCCACACAGGTACCACTCCGGCTTCACACTCCACAGCAGCTTTGAAGAGCTCTCCTCTGCTTTTCCTTCTCAGACAAATCGCCTGGATCCTGCAGTTAGTCCAGTCTCCTCTCGACGCCAACAGGGCAGGTTTGTCTTTGAAGACTCTTCCTCTCCTCCTGTCTCTTTTAGCGACCGCCTCGGCCTGAACCGCCACAGTCCTCAGACGTACCATCAGCAGAAATTCGAGTGCTTTGAGGAGCTTCCACCTTCTCTGGACCTTCATGCTTCTCATCTTCTGCACCGCCCTGATCTCCACCAGCCCTCTCCACAGTACCCCCCGGGCGGACCACGCGACTTTGAGTCCAACCACGGCTACCCCAGCCCTCCCCCTCCTCACCACGGCTTCATGCCCCGCGCCCACTCCTACACGTCGCCTAAAGGGTTTCCAGGCGACTTCCACAGTGTCCCACCAAAGACGCCGCACATGTCCTTGCCGCTCCCGCACCAGCTGAGCCCGCACCAGGCCTACAGCCGGAGACCTCAGCCCTGGGAGAAGGTTTCTGCTCCGGACTGTGGCTCGTATAACTCCCCCCTGCCCGGCGCGAGGTTCAGCCCCAGGGATCCACCTCAGGCCGCCTGGGACCCGGCGCCGCCGTACAAACCCTACCACCTCTTTGGCAAGAACCTGGAGGAGACGTGGAGCTCGGCGTGGGGGGGGCCGTCCTCTCCTCAGGGGCCCCCGAAGCCCCCGGAGCCGCTGGGCCAGTACCGTGACGTGAGAGAGAAGCTGTTCTTGAACCTGTGCGGGATTTTTCCTGCCGATCTGGTCCGCCTCGCCATGGCGACCAACCCGCACATGCTCGGACGCCCAGGAGCTCGCAGCGGCCATTTTGTTGGCCAAATCGCAGTGCCTCACTTAAGGAAAGTCTCTACCTCTCGAAATGGAGGGAACGAGGAGCACGAATGTGAAAGCCATTGCTGTACTAAAGATAAAGAAGATGTTTTAAAGGGAAACCAGAGAAAACGGCGGTGATGGGCGGCGCTCACGTCACATCACAATATTCCAGCGTCCCTATTGGACTGTTACGTGTGATGTCACTTCCGGGTCCAAAACGCATCAGATGATTGAAAATATTTAACGTGTTTACAGTTTTTTTTATTATTATTTTTAAAAGCGGCGTTAAAAAGGATAGTTTCACTGTAACAAGTTTTTTTTTAATGTGACAGAAATTGTAAAAAGCTCAAATAAGTTTGCAGTGACGAGAAGTAAAATATTATTAATATGTTATTTTATGTTAGATTATTAAATTATTACATTATTTATTTTTCCTGTTACAGTTTTGAAAGGAAACTCTCTTATTTGACAAAACAAAAACAAAGGTAGAAATCTGCTGTGAGGTTTTTGGTTGGACCCGGACTTGACATCAGCACTTTAAACCCTGAACTGGAGACAGACAGGTGAGACAGGTGAGACAGGTGAGACAGGTGAGACAGGTGAGACAGGTGAGCGTGTCAGGTGGAGTTTTTTGTGTGTGTCAGGTGCAGATGTGTGACCTGGTTCATGGTTCATGTCTCTGCTAAAAGGACTTAACGTCATAAGATGAATATGTTTAGTAACGTTTAGTTTGTGGACCCAGTCCTTAAAGCTTCCCTGTGTAACTTTTCTGGTGGAGTGACCTGGACTTGTCTCTATGGAGATTTTATTGCGTTGCGTAGAATGTTTAACAGTATGGCCACAGACTTCATGGAAACGAGCAGTTGATGCCACCACACCAAGTTTCTTCTGCAATAAAATCACCTGAATTTGAATAAAAGTTAAACAGATATAAGTGGTGTAGTGAGGATTTTTTAAGTGTGGGAACAAGATTTCTGACGTCATCGAGGACTAAACCAGGTCCAAACCAGGTCTAAAATGGGTTTAAACCAGGACTAAATTAGGACTGAACCAGGTCTACACCAGATCTACACCAGGAATAATCCAAGACTGAACCAGGACTAAACTAGGACTAAACCAGGACTAGACCAGGTCAGGACCAAGATTAAACCAAGATTAAAAGAGGTCTAAACCAGGACTGAACCAGGTTTAAACCAGTATTAAACTAAAACTGAACCAAGACTAAACTAGGACTGAACAAGGTCCAAACCAGGACTGAACCAGGTCTAAACCAGAACTGAACCAGGTTTAAACCAGGACTAAACTAGGACTGAGCCAGGACTACACCCCTGGATTTAATGCCATACTGTGAAACATTCCAGACACAGAAATACTCTCAGTGAAGAGAAAAGTTACACAGCTTCACCTTTTAACAAAGTTTCTATTTTGGAGATTTATTTCAAAAATAGTGAGAGTTAAACACGTCTGTTCATTGTTCATGTCTAGTACCGACTAGACTCAAGAACTCGCTGCATTACAACAAAAATCTGGGTCCTAACAATATAAATTTTCACCGCCTCCACCTGTATTTGATATTTGTGTACAGAATGTTGTGATGTGACCTGGAGCTCGGCCTTTCTCTGCTCCAGCACTTCAGACCAGGAAACCATAAAGTTAAATTATATTCTAAGTTTCTCTCGTGAATGAAGAGAAGACGTGCTTAGGGCGTGCATCAGGTATAAATCTTTTACGTTTAATTTATTTAAGTTATTTCATAGGTTTTTTTATTTTTGTATTTTGCACTTTTGGTTCTTTTTGGTCAATCAAGCCGCCAACACGGAGGGTTTTTGTTGGTCCGGGCAGAAATTCCGAAACATCAGTTAAATGAAGGAATCATTTATGATTTATTTTATGTTTTTACGATGTCGTTTTATTTTGTGAATGTGTATTTTAAGTGAGACACAGGGTTTTGTTTCGTTTTATTTTGAAAAGCTGCACATGTGCGTGGATCCGCGGCAGCGATTTCAAAGCATTTCGACGAGTGAACGAACTTAAAGACGGGGTATTGTGCTAAATTTATTTGTTATAACTTCACCGAAAACCTGCCTGAAGCGGGTTTATGCGTCATCCATGCATGTCTGAGTAATCTAGCGATCTCTCGTAGGCCCGGTTCAAACCCTCCTTAGACAAATCTCCGTAAATATACAAAAATATGACACAAAACTGTACACTACGACTTCACAAACCTGACGCGATGAGCAGGAGTTTCATTACGATGATGGCGCTCTGAAGGGGGTAGACTTAGCGCAGGGAGCAAAAAGAGGGGAGATTCGAGAGCTCATAAAACATGTGAATATGTCGTTTTGGGCGACTACAACATTTTCAAAACAAAAAAAGGAACATGGCGATTTAAATATGTGAAGTGTTAAACAGAGTCACATACCTCGTCTTTAATAAACCACAGAGGTGTAAGAGTTTGGAATAAGAAAGTTTTCAGAAATATTCGTGTGCATACGATTGAAATCGATGCTTATTTGTCTGTAGTTGAGCATAAAATAAATATTCGTAAACTCTCGAATGAGTCCAGTCGTACATAAAAAGCGTTGTGTGTATTTTATCCGTCAGAATACGAATTGAAAAGTTACGATGTCAAGAATTAAGATCACGAAATGAAAATTTACGATGACGCTTTCTTCAGTACGAACACGAATTCAGAGACGCGACTTGACTGTTAAAAATACGTCATCACTTCACAGGTAGAAGAAACGTCGATCGAGATGCAGGACTAGATTGAACCAGGCCTGATTCATCAGACGGTTTCACTTCGTAGAAAGTGAAACGATTAATTCGCTGAACGGTCGGCAGGTACTTTTTATCATTTAACCAATCGGTGCCGTTTGGTCGTGACGTATGTAAAAATGGGGATAACTGGTAGATTAAGCTTTTCCCAAATCCTGTAGGAAGAAGAACAATAACGTCTTTCTCCTTGATAAAATTCACCAAACATTCTCTTTGTTCCGGCTTTAAGTCTTCGATCTCGGGAATCGTTGCCAACACAGAATGTCTGTCGCTTCTCTTGGCTGGTGCCCAAACTCACACATCCGGGGTTTTTGAGAACCGTCTAGTGCAGGGGTGGGCAAACTTTCTGACTCGTGGGCCACAAATGGTTCTAAAATTTGACAGGAGGGCCGGACCAGGAGCCGATGGATCCTCATCAGAGAAAAAAATAACGTGGGATGTGTAGAAAACATGTCCCATGTTACTGAAATAACCTATAACTGAAAATCATTACAACAAAATATCTGTCTTTCAAGTCCCACGGTGTTTACGTTTTATAGAAATTTCTTTTAAAACACTGAAAATTATTATTATTATTATTCAAGTATTATTCTATATATTATTATATAGTATTATTCAAGGCTGTATTAAAACGGGCCGCAGTTTGCCCACCCCTGGTCTAGTGTATTCTGATTCCTGACTGAGTCGCTGGAGAGAAATGAAATTGAACGGAGGCACTAGGTGGCACCAGCCTGACTAGACTGAACCAGGACTGAACCAGTACTAATCTTGGACTTGAGAGACGGGGAGAACCTAGAGCCTGGGGAGCAGAGTGTCCACAAAACGCGATTGGGCGATGGCTGCGCTTTGCTCCGTGGGGCGTGAAGCTCTGCACCGGTCCTTTCACCTGCAGTCACCTGACAGTCTACACGGGCGCAGCTCCGGACCCATCCAGACACTCAGTCCTGGATCAGTCTAGTCAGGCACCACCTAGTGCCTCTGCTCGATTTAATTTCTCTCCAGTGACTAGATCAGGAATCAGAATACACTCGATGGTTCGCAAAAACTCCAGCCAATCAGTGAAGAGTCAGACATTCTGTGTTGTCAACGATTCCCCAGATCGAGGATTTAAAGCCAGAACAAAGAAAATGTTTGGTGAATTTTATCTCGGGGAAAGACGTTATTGTTGTTCTTCCTACAGGATTTAGAGCATTACAAACGTCACGACCAAACAGCAGCGATTGGTTAAATAAAAAAAGTACCCGCCTACTGTTGAGAGAACGAATCCTAATGCTGCGAGGTCACACGGTTTACACCAAAGTGAAACCGGCTCATGAATCAGACTAGGTTCAGTCTGTGTGTGGCACAAAAGTCCTGCATCTTGATCGATGTTTCTTTTGTCTGTGAAGTGATGTTGTTTTTGACAGTCGAGTCGCGTCTGTGAATTCGTGTTCGTGCTGAAGAAAGCTTAACCATTTTGTTTCATTTCATTTGGTGACTGCAATTCTTTACGTTGTAACTTTTCAATTTGTATTCTGACGGATAAAATACACACAGCACATTTCACGTACGACTGGACTCATTCCAGAATTTACGAATATTTATTTTATGCTCAACTACAGACAAATCTGCACATGAATATTTCTGAAACCTTTCTTAGTCCATATAATACCACCTCTTTAAGCAGAATGTTTATACATGGTGGGACTTTGAAGATAAAAATGATGGAATGTTGTTTAAACGTCTGTAATTTCTTAAATACTTTTAGTGAATCTGTATCAAATGTTTGACAGTAAAACCGAAGGCACTTGGAGCCAATTCTCTGAACAGTTTGAATATTTGTAGTATTCACACGTCGTCGCCGTGAGGCCGAGTCCACAAACCCTTGGTTCTTGTTGATACAAATTGTATCTTATTAACATTTGTATGAAATTATTTTTATGAGAATATTTAATGTGAACTTTATTTATCTTAGTGAACTTTTCTAATGAGGTGTTTTCCTTAAAGGTCCTACATTACAAAACTAACTCGTGTGAGCTTTAAGTCGTGTTCTAATGTTGTTTCCTCGTCATAAACAGACCTGGAGTTGGGTTTTATTTCATTCACATCTTTATTACCGTATTTTCCACACTATAGGACGCACTTAAAAGTCTTTAATTTCATCGGAAAACGACTGCGAGCTTTATAATCCAGAGCGTTTTATATATGAATTTATTGTTGTGTCTTAGTACGACTTTAGTAAAGTACAAAGCCGCTCCACAGCGTCATGGCTCCCGTCGTCAGGAGCATCAGGAGTAAAACAAACTGATTCGTTTTAATATCAAAATGCACCTGTCAAGAGGCACGCTCACAATGCCCACTTTAAACTCAAGGCTGTTGTAAAGTGAAAGTGCGTTTAGCTGCGTGGGAGCAGTGGATGAGAGAAGGAGAACACACATTCACCAAGACAGAGAGACAGAGAGACAGCGCCGAGAGCGACTTACGCCACGATCTGCCGACGGATCGTGGACGCCCGTGCGAAGGATCAGGATCAACTGTGGTCCGAACTTTCACCAAGACCTGAATCATCACTGAACTGAACTCCAGGGAACAGAAACCACACTAACTCGGATAATGACGAAAGGGATGTGGACGTGTGGACACCGGAATCACCCAACTGTTTCAACTATTATGACTTACTGTGAATACACAAACAATTTATAACAATAACAATTTAGCATCTCAGACAGTTTTTAATGCGTTACAATTGAACAAAGTTGAGAGTTATTGTGAACGCATTAAATAAAGTTTGGCTACGTTCAGACTGCAGGGCTTAACTCTCAATTCAGATTTTTTTGGTGAAATCCGATGTTTTTTCGAGGTCGTTCACATTTCCAGTTAAATGTGACTTGTATGTGACTCCAGTGTGAACATTAAACGGCCCAAAAGTGTCCCACATGTGACACTGGAGACACGACGACGTCAACCGCAGCGAGCGTCTCTGTGTTTACAGAAGTTGTCCAAACATGGACGCAGCATCGAGCACCTGGAGATTTTAAAGTTCCTCTCGTACCGGAGCCAGAACATGAACAACTTACTTGTTTTAAGGAGGAGATTGAGAAGGAGAAGGACGAGGTTTTTGGTGGTGGTGTTTTTGTGGTGAGTGGAGATGTGCTTCACTTCAGTCACATGGAGTTCATTAACAATTTTCGTCTACTTCAGCGCAGAATAGTGACGTTTGTGTCTTGTTGATAACGTGTAGGTGGATGAAGGTGACCTGACCGTTCACACTGAAGTCACATGTCAAAAGATCAGATATGTATCGGTTTCAGGAGCACATATCCAAGTGTCCTGGGTCACATTTGAAAAAATCGGATCTGTGCCGTTCAGTCTGACATTAAAAGATCAGATGCAGGAACATAGAGGCCAAAAAATTGAATTTGGGTCACTTCAGGTGCAGTGTGAACGCAGCCTTTGACTAACTTATCTAACTGTTCTGTTTCGTTTAATGCGCCTTATAGTCTGGTGCAGTTTATATGTGAAAAAAGATCAAAAATAGACGATTCAATGACAGTGCGCCTTATAGTGCAGAAAATATGGTAATAGTCTGTCTACATCTCCAAAGCTCAAAACGCTCTGTTCCACCTTGTGATGTCATGAAGCGGTAGTTTTCAAGTGAACATCTCCTTTTTCCTTTAGTTCTGTAGAGATCGGCGATTCCAGGTCTGAAATGATCCAAACGATTCTGGTGAAGGTTTGTGGAGTTAAAAAATCTATGTTTCAGTGTTTTCAGGGTTTCAGGGAATGTATGAATGAAACAAAACACAACTCCACGTCTGTTTGCGAGGAGGAAACGACATTTGGACCGATCAGAAAACAGAGTAATATGGGTCCTTTAAATGAACGGGGCTTTTCTTGTGAGAATTATAACTGGTTTATCTGAACGTCCTGTGCCTGAGCTTTACAACACGCTGCCTCATGAGAGAAGTCTGTCCTTTATTTATGGGCAAAATGTATTTTTCTAGATTTCTATACCGAGTTGTGTCAGATGGGCTGTTTAATGCGCTTTGTGAAGACTTGAATGAACCGTGACCAAACCTGCTGTAGTGTTCAGACGGAAACGTGCTTTAACTCCGGACGGACGCGCCTCCTCCTCCACCCGGGGCCACAGAGACGTCTGGACATGTAGTTTCTGAAAACCTGTGTTCTTCAAAAAATTGCACATTTTTAATAAACTGCAAAAAAAAAAAAAAGCTTCTGGTTTGTACAGTTTTGTGTGTTTTTTAATACCTGATCTTATCCACATATTGAGATACTGTAAGTCAACTTTTTTCTAATTCAGGTGATTTTATTGCAGAAGAAAGTCCAGATTGGACAGATTTAATCAGTGGTGGGGATTTTTTAAGTGTGGGTACGAGATTTGTGAAATCATCGAGGACAAAACCAGGTCCAAACCAGGTCTAAACTGGATTTAAACCAGGACTAAACTAGGACTGAACCAGGTCTAAACCAAAACTGAACCAGGTTTAAACCAGAACTGAACCAGGTCTCGACTTGGTTTAAACCTGGTCCAGACAAGGATTAAATCAGGCCTAAAACAAGACTAAACTAAATCTAAACTAGGACTACATCAGGTCTAAACCAGGTCCAAACCAGGACTAAACCAGAACTGAATCAGGACTAAACCAGGTCTAAACTAGAACTGAACCAAGACTAAACTAGGACTGAACCAGGTCTAAACCAGGACTAAACCAGGACTAAACCAGGTGTAAACCAGGACTATACTACATATTGAGATACTGTAAGTCGATCTGAACTATACGTTACACTTTTTGGGGGAGATTTATATTTAGCAGACATTTCCTGTGTAAAGTGAAGTTGTAGTAAAACAATAGAAGAGAGAACAACAGACTGTTAATGTCACACATGAACAGTTCTTCAGATAAACTATAACAAACAACAGAACAAGTTTAACAAACCAAGTTCCAGTGTCTTTCTGAATCTCGACAGGATGGTTTCGGTGTCACTGAAGTCCAGACTTTGTCCATCCATCCAGTGACTTCAGGAAAGTTTCATGGTGCATCCTCCCGGTGTCACAAGTTTCTCTCTCACTCCAAACTTTCTTTCTGCTGCTCGATTTCCGTTTTCAGCTGCAGATTTCACGACTTGCAGTTTGTAATCTTCAGAATCTGATTTTGTTTGTCTGTTCATTTGTGTTGTACCAAAAAGTTGGTTCCCAATGGGATCACAGGAAAATATACAAACCAAGAGCAGTTGAAACTCACGTATGAAATTTAAGTTTTAAGTCTACAGAAACTATTACGCACCATTGGTCTTGCATGTGTCCGATTTCACCTGATAAGATTACATCTTTATATTGAGCGTCGCTGTCGTCTTCTCCACAGCAGATCGATGTTGTGTCAGAGCTCGGCACATAAATAATGACTTGTGTAAGTACAAACGCTCGCTGGTATCAATGATGTGATCCATGATTGTTATTTTCTTCCTGTGACCTTGTTTTTATTTGGTGGTAAATCCACCCTCTCTGTCGATGACGCGTCATGGGTTCACGTAAATAGTTTGAACGCGGCTCGTTCACCGGTGAACACTTTGTTTCCAAGTGGAACTGGTGCGGGAACCGACACCGGCACCGTTCTGACCGACCTGAAAACAGCTACTGTGGCACCTCAGGTCAGAGTCCTGCACCGGGTCGCGTCAGAGTCCTGCATCAGGTCATGTACCCGTGGACTTAAGAGAGAGAGAGAGAGAACCCCGAGCACGTGGAGCAGGTGTCCACAAAGTGCGACTGGGCGACAGCTGCACTTACCTCCATGCAGCGCAGAGCTCTACACCGGCCCTTTCACCTGCGATCACCCGACGCTGTACGCGGGCGCATCTTAGTCCTGGTTTAGTTCTGGTTTAGTCCTGGTTTAGTCCTGGTTTAGTCCTGGTTTAGTCCTGGTTTAGTCTGGTTTAGTCCTGGTTTAGTTCTGGTTTAGTTCTGGTTTAGTCCTGGTTTAATCCTGGTTTAGTCCTGGTTTAGTCCTGGTTTAGTCCTGGTTTAGTCCTGGTTTAGTCCTTTAGTCCTGGTTTAGTCTGGTTTAGTCTGGTTTAGTCTTTTAGTTCTGGTTTAGTCCTGGTTTAGTTCTGGTTTAGTCCTGGTTTAGTTCTGGTTTAGTCCTGGTTTAGTTCTGGTTTAGTCCTGGTTTAATCCTGGTTTAGTCCTGGTTTAGTCCTGGTTTAGTACTAGTTTAGTCCTGGTTTAGTTCTGGTTTAATCCTGGTTTAGTCCTGGTTTAGTCCTGGTTTAGTCCTGGTTTAGTCCTGGTTTAGTTCTGGTTTAGTCCTGGTTTAGTACTAGTTTAGTCCTGGTTTAGTTCTGGTTTAGTCCTGGTTTAGTCTGGTTTAGTCCTGGTTTAGTTCTGGTTTAGTCCTGGTTTAGTCCTGGTTTAGTCCTGGTTTAGTCTGGTTTAGTCCTGGTTTAGTCTGGTTTAGTCCTGGGTTTAGTTCTGGTTTAGTCCTGGTTTAGTCCCGGTTTAGTCCTGGTTTATTCTGATTTAGTCCTGGTTTAGTTCTGGTTTAGTTCTGGTTTAGTCCTGGTTTATTCTGGTTTAGTCCTGGTTTAGTTCTGGTTTAATCCTGGTTTTAGTCCTGGTTTATTCTGGTTTAGTCCTGGTTTAGTCCTGGTTTATTCTGGATTTAGTCCTGGTTTAGTTCCTGGTTTAGTTCTGGTTTAGTTCTGGTTTAGTCCTGGTTTATTCTGGTTTAGTCCTGGTTTAGTTCTGATTTAGTCCTGGTTTAATCCTGGTTTAGTCCTGGTTTAGTCCTGGTTTATCCTGGTTTAGTTCTGGTTTAGTCCTGGTTTATTCTGGTTTAGTCCTGGTTTATTCTGATTTAGTCCTGGTTTAGTCCTGGTTTAGTCCTGGTTTAATCCTGGTTTAGTCCTGGTTTAGTTCTGGTTTAGTTCTGGTTTAGTCCTGGTTTATTCTGTTTTAGTCCTGGTTTAGTTCTGGTTTAGTCCTGGTTTATTCTGATTTAGTCCTGGTTTAATCCTGGTTTAGTCCTGGTTTAGTTCTGGTTTAGTTCTGGTTTAGTCCTGGTTTAGTTCCTGGTTTAGTCCTGGTTTAGTTCTGGTTTAGTTCTGGTTTAGTCCTGGTTTATTCTGGTTTAGTCCTGGTTTAGTTCTGGTTTAGTCCTGGTTTATTCTGGTTTAGTCCTGGTTTAATCCTGGTTTAGTCCTGGTTTATTCTGATTTAGTCCTGGTTTAGTCCTGGTTTAGTCCTGGTTTAATCCTGGTTTAGTCCTGGTTTATTCTGGTAACAGGTGGAACGTTAACGGGTCTGGGCGGATGTGTGTCTCTAAAAATGGACCCGTGCAGGACTCTGGGTCGGGTCACGTTGGTCTCGTTGGTGATCGCTGTCGGCCTTCGTACCGCGGTGTTTCATTTTTGCGTTTATTGCGACGGCTCTAACCGTGACGAAACGAGAAAGGATCAATTTTCAGACGTTGTATTTTCCATTCAAAAAGCAGAAAAGTTTTTTAAAAGGTTTCGGAGGCACGGTCGGACTCTTCTCCTTCTCCATTTCAAAATAAAACAAAAACACAAAACGAAGCGCCCGTTAAAAACATCGAAACAGCTTTAATGTTTTATACACAGATCATTTTCAGTCCAAACAGTAAGAAGAAGAAGAAAAAAATAAAATAAAACAAAACGCGTTCACGTCTTTACCTGCGTCTCCTCTCCTCTCTGTTCCTGTCTCTGTTCTCCTTGTTGCGCTCCCTCTCCCTGGTGTCCTCCACCTCCCTGTCCCTGTCTTTGCTCCTGTCCATGTCCCTGTCCCTGTCATTGCTCCTGTCCGTGTCCCTGTCCCTGTCATTGCTCCTGTCCGTGTCCCTGTCCCTGCTCCTGTCCGTGTCCCTGTCCCTGCTCCTGTCCGTGTCCCTGTCTTTTCGCCTGTCATCCATTTTCCTGCGCTCGTCCTTCTGTCTTTTGGGTTCCTCCTGTTCTTCTCGTCTGCTCCACCTCCTGTCCTCGGCGTCTTTGTCTTCCTGCCTTTCGTTTCTCGTCCTCTCCTCCCTTCCTCTCCTCTCGTCCCTCTCCTCTCTTTCCTCTCTGTCTTGTCTTCCTCTCCTCTCTTCTCTCTCCTCCCTTCCTCTCCTCTCGTCTCTCTCCTCTCTCCCTCTCCTTTCCTCTCTCTCCTCCCCGTCTTGTCTCCCTCTCCTCTCGTCTCTCTCTTCTCTTCCTCTCCTCTCTTCTCTCTCCTCCCTCCCTCTCCTCTCCTCCCATTCCTCTCTGGGGTCTTTCGTTCTTCGTTCGTCTCTGTTTTTGTCTTTGTCCGGTCTGGCCCGCTCGGTCTTGTCGTCTTTTTCCGCGTGTTCTTTCTTCCCCTTCTTCTTGGTGGGCTGTTTTCGCTTCTTCTTCTTTTTGTGCTTCTCGTCCGAATCTGTGACGAACAGAAGAAAAAAAAAAAAAAAAGTCATTTATTAATAATGTAACTTCGGATCAGTGGACATCAAAAATCTGATAAGTTTACAGCTCAAGGTGCCGACTTTTGAAAAGAGGTGGGGCCCAATTATTGACTTTTTCAAATAAGACACTTACGCCCTAACATGCCGTATTTTTTTATTCATTTTTACAATTTTTTTTTCTTCTTCTTCTTGAAAAGCAGAAAAAAATGTGAATATATAAATTGTGTGAAGGGCCGGTCTCTGGACACTGTTGATGTGAACTGATTTGTGGCTATAAAAGTTTAAGAAAATAAATAATGCAACTGTTAAAGCTCCAGTGTTACACAAAACTGTCTCCTGTGAGCGTTAAATCACACAGTCGTAGTCGTCCTGTCAGGTATGAAAACAAACTCTTGGTCTGAAAAAAGAACCTAATAACACAGCTTTAAATCATGTTCTACAGGGTGTCCCCAGGTTTGACTACTCCAAATTTAAGACTTTTCAAGACCTTTTTAAGACCATTTAAATGAAAATGAAAAAAGACCAACAACCATGATCCATCCCATGTCTTCCTCCACTGCAGCTCAGTTCAGTTTACAAAAAATAAGCTAATGAAATTTCAGACCTTTGTGAAAAAATTGAGACTTGGGCAACTACGCCTAACCCTAATTTAAGACTTTTTAAGGCCTTCAATTTAGGAACATGAAATTTAAGACCTTTTTAAGACTTTTAAGACCCCGCGACTACACTGTTCTAGGAGTGTGCCGAACCATTTTGTTACGGGACGTTGGGTTTGATGAATTTGCGGAGTTTGTGTGTGTTTATATTTCACCACTACATGTGCAGCGACACGGAGGCTTGACTCTTTAATATTCACGAAGGAACTGGTCCGTGATTGGTGCAGTGTTTCCTGCAGCGCTTTATAGTTAGGGCGACCGCCTTGACAACAGTTGTCCCCCGCCTTGACTATGTCCCTCCAAACCACAAGAATCCTGCAAAACTACGAAAAACTCGTCGCACTGCAGTCCTCACTCTCACCTTTTGCTGGCACAAAATCTCCGCCCCCCCCCCATCCCCCCAACTGTTGACACGTTGGTTTTTCTGGCCAAAGATCTGAAGACTGAGTAAAAGTTCATGCTGGAACTGTTAGTGCTGCAAAGTTTTGTTTACTGTTTACAAGGAATTTATTTTTATATTTCAAACATTTGTTGCTTATTTGAGAATATTTTATTTCACTTATTAGTTTTACCAAGCAGCACTTTGCATTTACTTTATTTTCACGTTTGTATAATGTTAAAGTAAATTGTGGGTTTAATAAAAACACAAATAAACAACAAGTAAATGGTTTGGCATTTTGTTCCCAAACTGAACCGAAAATGAACCAAACCGTGACCTCAAAACCCAGATATGTTCCGAACTGTCATTTTTGTCCCGTTACAGCTCTGTCATGTTCTATTTTTGTTCCCTCCTCAAAAACAGACCTGGAGTTGTGTTTTGTTTCAGTCACACGTTTGAGTAACTCTTTATTACTTGTCTGTCTACATCTCCAAAGCTCAAAATGCTCCAATTTGTGATGTCATGAGGTGGTGGTTTTCAAGTCCACAGCTCCTTTTACCTTTAGTTAAGCAGAAATCGGTAACTCCAGGTGTGAAATGATCCAAGTGATTCTCGTGAAGGTGTGCGGAGTTTAAAAACACAGCGGAGCGCTTCCTGTATTATTACCACGTGACATCACAAGGTGGAACGGAGTGTTTTTCAGTTTGAGAGAAGAGCTCGGTCTAAACGTGCAGGGTTTGTGATTTAAAAAAGTGTGAATGAAACGAAACACAACTCCGGGTTTGTGACGAGGAAACCACATCAGAACGCAGATCAGGAAATTGCGTCACTCGGGTCGTTTTAAAAATGAATCAGAGGGACAAAAAAAAAAAAAAAAAAAATTCCACGGTAGAATTTGCGTCATCTGTTTTCAAAAATCAAACTCTGATCTGGTTTAAAATGTACTGTACCCGACGTTTCCTCGTGTGTTTGAGAAGAAGCGGCGAGTCTGAGCAGCTCTTTAGGTCAAAATAAGGCAATTCTGAATCGATTTTTATAAGCAGAAAGTGCGTTTGCATGCTAGTTGTTGGCATCAAAACTCTGTTCTGGTCTGTGAGAGTTTTTAAAAGTGTTTAGAAACTCGTTGTGGAGAAAAATGAGGATGCTCTGAATGCAGAAGGGAAGTGAGGAAGAACTTTGGACTGCAAACGGTTTAAAATTATCCACTTCTGTTTTTTTGTTTAGTTTTTTTTATCACAGTCTCTGTCCTTCCTCTATATGAAGAGGAAACATCCAAGGCCGCGTCTCTTTTCTCGTTCCTCGCGTCCTTCTCCTTGATTACTCTTCTCGATTCTGCGGGAAACGGGTGAGGAAGTCTCGTCCACAGAGGAGACAAGGGGAGGAGACAGGATCTAAACTCCTCACTGAGAACGAGAAAGTTTCCCTCAGGTTTCCTCCTTCATCTATCCCTCCCTCCCTCCCTCCCTCAGGTTTCCTTCCTCCCTTCCCTCCAGTTTATTCCTTCCCTCCCTCCTTCCTTCAGGTTTACATCTTCCTTCCTTTCCTCTGGTTTACTCCTTCCCTCCTTCCTTTCCTCTGGTTTACTCCTTCCCTCCTTCCTTTCCTCTGGTTTACTCCTTCCTTCCTTTCCTCTGGTTTACTCCTTCCTTCCCTCCCTCAGGTTTACTCTCTCCTTCCTTCCTTCCCTCAGGTTTCTTCCTTCCTTCCTTCTATCCCTCCTTCCCTCTCTCCTTTCCTCTGGTTTACTCCTTCCCTCCTTCCTTTCCTCAGGTTTCCTCCTTCCTTCCCTCCCTCCTTTCCTCAGGTTTCCTCCTTCCTTCCTTCCCTCCCTCAGGTTCCCTCCTTCCTTCCTTCCCTCCCTCCCTCATGTTTACTCTCTAGTTCCTTCCCTCCCTCAGGTTTACTCTCTCCTTCCTTCCCTCCTTCCCTCAGGTTTCATCCTTCCTTCTATCCCTCCTTCCCTCTCTCCTTTCCTCAGGTTTACTCCTTCACTCCCTCCTTTCCTCAGGTTTCATCCTTCCTTCTATCCCTCCTTCCCTCTCTCCTTTCCTCAGGTTTACTCCTTCACTCCCTCTTTTCCTCAGGTTTCATCCTTCCCTCCCTCCTTCCCTCAGGATTCCTCCTTCCCTCCCTCCCTCCCTCCCTCCCTCCCTCCCTCCCTCCCTCAGGTTTCCTCCTTCCTTCCTTCCCTCAGGTTTTATTCCTTCCCTCCCTCATTCTCTCAAGTTTATTCCTTCCCTCAAGTTTATTCCTTCCCTCCTTCCTTCCCTCAAGTTTCTTTCTTCCCGTTCTCCTTCCCTCAGGTTTCCCTCCTTCCTTCTGTGGTTTTCTTTGGGACAACACTTGATACGAGGATCGAGGAGACGAATCAAGGCGAAGGAAGCGAGGAAAGAAAAACGAGAATTGCCCTCCCTCCCTCCCTCCCCCTTCCTCTCTGTACCTGCTGCAGTGAGCCTCGTCTTTTTGGTCGTAAATGTTTGTATTAACCCGTTCTACGTGATGCTCGGGTTTGGATTTCACAATTTGGTCCGTAAATAAATTCCTTTTCCTCATGAGGACCTGTCTCCACATTCACGGGACACGCACTGCAAAACCAAATAAGATTGTGAGAGTTGAACCTGAGGAGCTGCTGCTGCTGGACGACGAGTCGGAAGAATCGGACGACGAGTCTGAGGAGGACGACTCAGAGGACGAAGAGGAGGAGGACGAGTCGGAATCCGAGGAGTCCACCTCCTGGTTCTGGGTCATGATCATTTTCGGAGCGTTCTTCAGATGTTCCCTGAGCTCATCCCTGGAACAAACAAACAAAAACCGAGAATTAGAACATTAAATACACAAACAATATCAGAAAAATCACACGTAAACAGCAAATATCTTCTGACTGTGGTCCGTCTCCTACAACAATTAATTAATCATTGCATTTATATCGCGCCATTCATGATCCCAAAGTGTGATGTGCAATAAAATCACCTGAATTAGAAAAAAGTTGGACAGATTTAATCAGTGGTGGGGATTTTTTTAAGTGTGGGTACGAGATTTGTGAAATCATTGAGGACAAAACCAGGTCCAAACCACGTCTAAACTGGATTTAAACCAGGACTAAACTAGGACTGAACCAAAACTGAACCAGGTTTAAACCAGAACTGAACCAGGTCTGGACTTGGTTTAAACCACGTCCACAACGACACCAACACCTGTTACTACTACTCTTACTACTACTATTCCTACTACTACAAAAACATCAGCTACTACTACTCCTACTACTATTCCTACTACTACTCCTTCTCTTCCTCCTACTACTACTACTACGATTCCTACTACTACTACAATTCCTACTACTACTACTATTCCTACTACTACTTAATACTACTCTTCCTACTACTATTCCTCCTACTACTACTCCTACTATTCCTACTACTACTAGTACTACTACTTACTACTACTACTAACTACTACTAATATTCCTACTCCTACAACAACAACAGCTATTACTACAATTACAACTACTACAACTACTACACAAAGTTTATATAGTGTTTTTCACAGACAGCGGTCACAAAGAGGTTCAGAAATAAAAGATAAAAAGCAGCGTAAGATACATTCATAATAAAGTCGCAGCAGCTCTAAACCTGAGGGGGAACCTGAGGGAACGCTCGTTCAAAGAGAAACGCTTTTAGTTGCTTTTTCAAATCACCTACACGATCTAGAGAGTGTAGGAAAGGAGGCCGTTGATTCCAGAGTTTAGGGGAGCGGTTTAGACGGCTTGAAAAAAAATCAGTCTTCTCAGGTTTTAACTCTTTCCCCCATGAAGACGACATTTGACGACCCCCCGTTTCCTTAATGACGACTTTTGACTCCTCCGCTGTATCACTAAAGACGAGATTTGACGACCTTTAGAAACGGCTCGGTTTTTCACATTTAAACAGAGACTGCGATAGGTGGGAGCCACTACAACTCACACTAGACTGACCAATAGGATTCAAGGATATGTTTTCGCCGATTTTTTCCGAAGTTAATCGAAGTAGTGACGATTGTAGCTTCAACAACACGAAACACGAGCGATGGAAAGATCGCAGCACTGTGGCGCACAGTTTTAGAATTAATGAGGAGCAGATGTATTTTATGGATAAGTTTAGAGAAAGTGGCTTTTATTGATTTCAAAGTGATGATGAAGTTGATTATAAAGTGGAAAACAGGGACAGCGACGGACTTACAGAGAGTGAATCTTATGAAGGTGAGAATGTCGCTGATGCGTCTGTGTGGAGTCCTGCGATGTCCAAACAAACTATCTGAGCTTTATACTCGATTATGAACCAAAATTGCCCTGAAATCTGGATGTTGCCCAGGCCAGTCCTTTAAAATATTTCAGTCTTTTTTTCCAAGATGCGACGTATAACAGAATTGCTACAGAAACAAACGCTTATGAGGAGCTCTGCACACGAGAAAATAGCCAAGATGACAAATACTGGACACACACTGACGGGGAAGAGTTTTATTATTATATTATATTATTATATTATAATAAGCTGAATTAGTTGAATAAGCTAAATGAGTTGAATAAATTAAATAAGTTGAATAAGCTAAATGGAAAAAATGAATTAGGTCCACACAGGTGAACAACAGGTAAAAACAGGTGCACACTTGGCTGTACTGTATCTGGTGATATGAAATCTGTTTAAATACTTTGACAAAATATATTTTTATGATTTTTTAATGAATATAGTACTCAGAACATGTCTATATCAAATGCTGAATGTAGTTTTTTGTTTTCGAGTTTGCACCTGACCAGGTAAACTCTCATTTTCAGTGAGCTGTTATAAACCTATAAATGAGTTGAATCACATTTAAACATCCAGAAATGAAGAGTTCAGAGTCTAAGGTTTCCAGAGATACAAATATGTCTGTGTTACAATTAAGTTCATGAGTGTAAAATTAATTTATAATCACTCGTGGAAGTCTGTTTTCTTTTATGCAATTATGCTCTATGGGTAGAACTAGTAACACATGTATGGGTTGTTCCTAGTGAGCGTCCAGGGGGGAAAAGAGTTAAAGCTCGTCCGCGGGAACTAATACTACTGCTACTCACGTGAGTCCTCCGAGCCCGATGGAGGTGAAGAAGTTGATGGCGAAGCGCGTGTTTCTGGGATTGTCTCGTGGAAACAGCCCCTCGAAGAACGGCTGGAGGGTCCTGAAGATCACAGCACAGAGGCGAGGTTATAGTGACCACCGTCCTCTCTGAGTATAAAATAAAACAAGAGAAGAGACTTTGAGGTTCTTACGGGTCTTTGAGCCTCAGGTTAAGTTTGGGCAGCCCCATGAACGCACACAGCTCCTGGAACAGAATCTTCACAAAGATCCTGCTGGAGGACGTGGTGGTCTCCTCACTCATCTTAATGCACTCCAGAACCTGAGCAGAAAAAAAACAGCTTAACTTAAAGGTTGTATAGAGGATTTTCCAAGGAACGAGAAATCCAGCGACTGTTTGTCCTTTTTCAAATGTTGCGCATACGTGAAACCACCCCCCCTCCCCTACAGCTCCTACGGAGAAACACCTCCTCTCGCCTCCTCGTTACTCCAGAAACAGGTTTGTAAACAACTAACTACAGTGTTGGTTAGGCAAGGCGGAGAAGTGAGGAGCGGGGGGAGCGGGTGTGCGGACATTTCGGTCGCGGACGAGAAGTGAGGAGCAGGGGGAAGAGCGGATCGGGCAGCGGGGACAGGAGCAGGAAAGGGGAGCAGAGAAGGTTGCGCGGAGATTCCGTGCGAATGAACTAACTACAACACGCAGCAGCAAGCGGACTCTTTCTTTGCCTTGAAAATGACGTTTTCAGACATAGGATATCGCTTTCGTGTCCTGAAAAACGTTTGTCTCGCTCTTGGAAATAAAGTACGTTTTCATAATAAGCAGAAGTTTCCTGTCCAGGAGTAATTTGTGGACCAGTGCGTCAGTCTTTAGACCCTTCGTCTGCTTCAGTTGCGCCATCGCTGGAATGAATCTTCAAGAATCACCTTAGTTTGGCTTCGCTGCTTTTCCCCTTGTCTTCTTCTTTCAGCGACCTCAAAAACGGACTTTGTTTTGGGGCGAACTGCTCCTGGATTCTTGTCGCCATTGCAACAAACTTTGTGCGAACTGCGAGGAAGATATAGGTCAAAAAAGCCGCTAAGAACTGTTGTGTTGGTGGAGTAAACAGCGTCTGTGGACTGTGTGACAGTCGTACGTAAACCACGTAACGGCGGCGCAGGCAAGTCAGTTACGCTAGAAACGTAGGGAGATTGATTGACAGCCTGTCAGCTCACAGATAACGAGGCAAATGTTTAGCCCCACCACGTCCAGAGTTGATGAATTTTTATTCTCTTTTTTTTGGTCATCATAATTACAAGGCGACTGCATCTCTATAATCTATCATTGACAATTTGAAACAAAAAAAAATCCTCCATACAACCTTTAAAACCTCCTGATCTATATTCTGATCCACATTATGTATGGAACTGTAGATATGCCAGAAGTTTTGAATTAGAATATTTCACGATGAATGAAAAAACTTGAATAAAAAAATACTTCAAATGGAAATAATTGGAACATGTGATAGGTGGGTGTGATTTCAAAGGACTTTTCAGCATCTTTAATTCAGACTGACAAAATTCAAGTTGAGAAATTCAGATAAAAAAAAAATAAAATCAAGTTGAGATGGAAAACATTCAGAATCCGTGTATCATTCCTTCATTCGTTTTTCAGTATAAAACCAAAAATAAGAAAATGAAAAAGCAACAGTTTTCTTCATTATTTGTCTCCAAAACCAAAATGAAAAAACAGATAATGATTAGGTTTTTTCAGATTTTCGATTTTGTGTTTAAATGAAGAATGGAAAAAACAGATAACGACCGTTTACGTGACGTCCGTGACTGCGACGCTGGACTTTTGCACTGCATACGGACTGAACCAGGACTGATCCAGGTCCAGGAGCAGACCGGGACCAGACCGGGACCAGTCCGCTCTAGTCTCGGTCTCAGTCCCGGTCTCAATCTCACTCTGGTCCCGGTTTGGTCCCAGTCTGCTCTCGGACCTGGATCAGTCCTGGTTCAGTCTGTGTGTGGCGCAAAAGTCCAGCATCGCAGTCACGGAAGTCACATAAACGGGAAACATCCGTTATCCGTTTTTTCCATTTTTCATTTAAACACAAAATCGAAAACTGAAAAAAACGAATCATTATCTGTTTTTTCATTTTGGTTTTGGAGACAAATAATGAAGAAAACAGTTGATTTTTCATTTTCTAATTTTTGGTTTTATATTGAAAAACAAATGAACAAATGATACACAGATTATTCAGTTACTTTACTGTTTACTGTTACTATGGGAACTTGCCAACACCAGGGGGCGCTGTGCTCATAGAGGCAGAATTAAAGATGCTGAAAAGTCAGCATCTTTAATTCAGCTATTATTTATTTATTAATTATTTAATTTCAGCTATTTTTATTCAGGTTATTTCATTCTTCATGAAATATTGTAATTCAAAACTTCTCACACATCTATACTTCCATAATTATGATCCACTCTGTCTACTCTCGGAGTAAGAACAGCATTTAAAATATATAAAATAAATCATTATATTATAGAGATTTTACTAAAATGTTTCCTGTTTTCTCTCTTTTTAAACGTCGAACATTCCCTGGTTGGACTCGGCAGATGATGAGGGTTTGTTTTTAGACTAAATCAATAAATGACAGCACCTTTATTTTGTTAAACGCCTTCCTGTTACGTAAATTGCAAATACTGACCAGAGACCACCGAACCTTTCATACGCACAGGGAATAATGTAAAAGAGGTTTCGGAGGAAGGACCTTTTCCACACTGGAGCCCCCCTGGACGAGTGAGGCGTTACACCGTCCCATTTTGTTTCTAGGTTTAACCCACGCAGTTCTGTCTTTGTGTTCAGACATTTGAATAGATTTTCACGTGTTAAACCTTGTTGCCATAAACGAGTACGAGTGTGCGTGTGAGTGTGTGTGTGAGAGTGCACGTACGCTCCAGGGCACAGAGTCGGTGTAGAGCAGGTGGGCGAAGAGCCGCGCCACGTTCCTCAGTTTGTTGGTCTCCAGGCGGTGGATGGTTTCGTATTGTTCTGCAAAGATGGCCTCAAAGCTCTCCATGTAGTCCTTCTTCAGGAGACAGAACCTCTGCACACACACACACAGACACACAGACACACAGACACACACACACACGTACAGCCCGGTTAAGCTCGGCTCCACGCTGCTCTAAATGAGAGATCTCTGGTCCTTACCCCGGCCAACAGCCCGAAGAACTTCTCGTAGGTCCTCTGCTGAGCGCAACAGTCCAGCACCATGTTACACAGCTCCTTCTGCTCAGAACAAAACAATACTTTTCACCCTCGTATAAATGTTTCTCTTCTCATTTATACACTTTTATAGTATGATTTGTGCCTGGTTCAGTCTTTCCTCTCCTGCAGTACACAGAAGATTGTTTCTTTCACACAAATATTGTAATTTAAAATGTACAAAATATAATATGACGATCCTCGGGTGTCAGAGATTATAAATACTATTAATAGCAGCATCTCTGTGGTCTCCTTTCAGACACTTTGTTGTGAGAATAGTTTGACAAATAAACAAAGAGCTACTGTTACCGTCTGACTCTCAGGAAAGTCCATCTTGATGAGTTTATGGGCGCACTCCTCAAAGTCCAGACTGGAGGAGACAGAACATCACATCACATGAGGGCAGTCCAGAGCAGGAGCACACACACAGATACAAACACAGACACACACACACACAGACAGACAGAGACAGACAGAGAGGGGGCAGTACCTGGACTGGATGGCCAGGTAGATGGTCCTCCTGAAGGCCACCAGGTTCACCTCAGTCTGGTCAAAAATGGTCACCTTCTCTCCTGAGACAATAGCACATGGATTTAATAAAAATTTAAACTAAAAACAGTTGTTTTACAGCTGAAAATGTTGGATAGACTGAACACACAGATGTGGTTTCACAGAGGAGACCTGCAGAGTGAGCGCGCCCCCTGCTGGCACCAGAGGGTCAGTGTAGTTTTATATTATTGCAGTGTTGGAGCCAGTTTATCTTTTAGGGCTGTGCAAAAATACTGAAATATCGACATATCGTATCGTTTAATATGATGATACAGTATCGATATCGTGGGCTGCTGTATCGATATATAGCAAAGAGTATTTTTTTTCTATATTTCACTAAATAATTTTGTACAGTGCCACAGTTTTGTTGCTTGCTTAGAGAAAGGAAACTCGTATATGCGACACATTTGACATTTTCACTGTTTTGATGATTAAAATATTTGTGTTTCAGATTAACTTTGCACAAGAAGTGGTTTAACAAAGACTTTTAGTGTCACAGCCACGATTTAGCCTTTATTTTTTATTAAACCATATTGATTGGATTTGAAATATATTGTATCGAATCAAAAGCTCACTGTATCGAGATATGTATCGTATCGGCAACTTCTTAATGATACCCAGACCCATTATATTTATTTAAGAAATTATTAATTTGATGAATTTATATAATATTAAGCCCCCCCCATCCCTTCCTCCTGCAATCGGGTTTATCTTGCCACGTGTAGCAGCAGGGCGGGGAAGGCAGTGCCAGCAGAGAGGAGAAGATACTATTTTGTGACCACACTATATTGTAAAAGAAAGTCAACCACGGAGAATTTTTTATTTATTTTTTTGTTCTTTAAAATAAATGGATAAATGCAGTTCCTGGGTCTCCATGAGTGCTTATTTTTTTACGTGAGTTAAAAACCTCCTCAATCAAAAGGGGCACAACGTGTGTTTTTCAGTGGTGGTTATTGCCCAGAAACAATAGAAAAGAAATAAAACCAACTCCACAATGTTTATATTTCTCAGAGCTGTGCCCACCTTCTGCGTCCTCCCCCTCCTCGTTCTCCTCTTCCTCGTCGTCTTCATCGCTGCCGTCTGCATCATCGCCAGAGTCACTGCTGCCCTCGTCCAGGATATCTGAACACAACATAAGAGTCTTTTATTAAACTGTCCATGAACGTTATCAAACACATTTAGAGAAAAACTGAAGGTTTAACTAAAGGACTGGTCACACGATTACATCAGTGAGTAACAATCCTCAGGACAAAAGTGTCCAGGGTCAGACCGGAGCAGAGCCTCACCTCTCTTCAGCGTCTTGTACTTCTCTTCATTCTCCAGGAAGTCCGGGTCCAACTTGAACACATCTGAAAACACAAAGAGTAAATTTGAATACAAAAGTGAAAAGTGTTTCTAATTCTGAGTGGGTTTGGTGGAGAAAACCTGAGCTCAGTATTTACAGTTTTATATCAGCAGTAGAGATGTAACGATATTAAAGTCTCACGATACGATATTGTCACGGTATGAACTTCACGGTACAATATTTATTGCAATATCGTGGAAAAGCTCACGATTAGGGATGTACCAATATCCATTTATTGTGATAATTTGTGGAGGCTAAACAAAACTGTGAATATGTGACTTTTTCTTCTTAAAATGCCTCGACAAAACTTAATCCAAAGAACTAAGACTTAAAAGTGTTTGAACTGTTATTTCTTCTTGTTGTCTGCACTGAAATGGAGCAAAGGATCATGGTCTGTGTAGTTCCCTCTGTGTTTTTTTAATCTATTGCTGCATCATAACTCTTCATTTGTATTGTGATGATCCACGATATTATTGTGAGAACGTTGACGATACGATATCACGATATTTCGGTTACTGTTACATCTCTAATCAGCAGTGAGCTCTAAAACCGAAAACCTCTGTTTAATTTAAGTATGTTTTAGTAAAATAAGTTTAAACTGTCATAAGCACATAAACATAACTCAGAAGTGAAGAAACCTTTTGGATGAAACGTCTTCACTTTAACATTTTGTCCGGTGACAGACTTTTGTTTTTTTTTGTTTTTTAAAAAGAAAAAAAAAAAGAAAAAAAGGTGCACTATTTTAAAAGTAGACACCAAACTAGCTCCTCCTCCGTGTCTCTGGGCCATCACACTCCGCCCACAGTGAGGTCCCTTCGCCGCATTTCACTCGTTCCAACTTGTTCCTATGTTTAAAGGAGGCTGATCCTGTTAATGGGGCATTATACCGCCACCTTCTGGACTGTTTAAGTATTTGTGCTATGTGAGTATGTGACAGCGTTAAAATCATTAAAAAAAAAAAGTCCTTCCATTTTCTCTTTAATTTATAAATGCTTATCTGACTGCACAAATGTCTAAATTATAACATTTACATTTCAAAATAAACCTAAATAAATAACGTGGGACTGCGTTGGTGTTTTGTGCGTTGGCATTTGTGTTGGCGTTTGGAGCGTTGGCGTTTGTTATGTTGGCGTTTGGTGCGACGGCGTTTGTTATGTTGGTGTTTGGTGCGACGGCGTTTGTTATGTTGGCGTTTGGTGCGACGGCGTTTGTTATGTTGGCGTTTGGTGCGACGGCGTTTGGGGCGTTGGTGTTTGGTGCGTTGGCATTTGTGGAGCATTGGCGTTTGTTATGTTGGCGTTTGTTATGTTGGTGTTTGGTGCGACGGCGTTTGTTATGTTGGCGTTTGGCGACAGCATTTGGTGCGACGGCGTTTGTTATGTTGGCGTTTGGTGCGACGGCGTTTGGAGCGATGGCGTTTGTTATGTTGGCGTTTGGGGCGACGGCGTTTGGAGCGATGGCGTTTGTTATGTTGGCGTTTGGTGCGACGGCGTTTGGAGCAATGCCGTTATGTTTGGCGTTTGGGGCGTTGGTGTTTGGTGCGACGGCGTTTGTTATGTTGGCGTTTGGTGCGACGGCGTTTGGGGCGTTGGTGTTTGGTGCGACGGCGTTTGGGGCGTTGGTGTTTGGTGCGACGGCGTTTGTTATGTTGGCGTTTGGTGCGACGGCGTTTGGGGCGTTGGTGTTTGGTGCGACGGCGTTTGGGGCGTTGGCGTTTGGTGCGACGGCGTTTGGGGCGTTGGTGTTTGAGGTGTTGGTGTTTGTTATGTTGGTGTTTGGTGCGACGGCGTTTGTTATGCTGGTGTTTGGTGCGACGGCGTTTGGTGCGACGGCGTTTGGGGCGTTGGCGTTTGGTGCGACAGGCATTTGGTGCGACGGCGTTTGTTATGCTGGTGTTTGGTGCGACGGTGTTTGGTGCGACGGCGTTTGTTATGTTGGCGTTTGGTGCGACAGCATTTGGTGCGACGGCGTTTGTTATGTTGGCGTTTGGTGCGACGGCGTTTGGAGCGATGGCGTTTGTTATGTTGGCGTTTGGGGCGACGGCGTTTGGAGCGATGGCGTTTGTTATGTTGGCGTTTGGTGCGACGGCGTTTGGAGCAATGCCGTTATGTTGGCGTTTGGGGCGTTGGTGTTTGAGGTGTTGGTGTTTGTTATGTTGGTGTTTGGTGCGACGGCGTTTGTTATGCTGGTGTTTGGTGCGACGGCGTTTTGGTGCGACGGCGTTTGGGGCGTTGGCGTTTGGTGCGACAGCATTTGGTGCGACGGCGTTTGTTATGCTGGTGTTTGGTGCGACGGTGTTTGGTGCGACGGCGTTTGTTATGTTGGCGTTTGGTGCGACAGCATTTGGTGCGACGGCGTTTGTTATGTTTGGCGTTTGGTGCGACGGCGTTTGGAGCGATGGCGTTTGTTATGTTGGCGTTTGGGGCGACGGCGTTTGGAGCGATGGCGTTTGTTATGTTGGCGTTTGGTGCGACAGCGTTTGGAGCAATGCGTTATGTTGGCGTTTGGGCGTTGGCGTTTGGTGCGACGGCGTTTGTATGTTGGTGTTTGGTGCGACGGCGTTTGGAGCAATGCCGTTATGTTGGCGTTTGGGGCGTTGGCGTTTGGTGCGACGGCGTTTGTTATGCTGGTGTTTGGTGCGACGGCGTTTGGGGCATTGGCGTTTGAGGTGTTGGTGTTTGGTGGCGTTGGCGTTTGGTGCGACGGCGTTTGGGGCGTTGGTGTTTGTTGTGTTGGCGTTTGTTGTTGGTAGGGTGAAGAGAAGAGAGGAGGGAGCGCTCTGGGACGGGCCCTTGAGCGTTTGTGCAGGGTGAGTTCTTACTGAGCACGTCCTCGGTGTTGTAGTCGTCCTCCAGTGGCATCATGTGGGTGAACTGGTCCTCCTCGTCCACCAGGTCCAGCCCCTCGGGGATCACCGGGTGGTCTTTAAAACCGTCCTTCCTGATGGCGAACATGACCTCGATCATGTACTGCACGCGCTTGTCTATGGCCGACTCGTGAAGGACGTTCCTCAGACGCTCGAAGATGGCTGCAGCACGAGAGAGAGAGAGACATGTCATTTCAGCCTGGGAGATCGAACAGGCAGGTTGGGGCAGGTCAGTGTCGGTGCAGGTCGGCGTCGGGGGCAGGTTGGGGCAGAGTGGTGTCGGGGCAGGTCAGTGTCGGCGTCGGGGCAGGTCAGTGTCGGCGTCGGGAGAGCAGTCAGTGTCGCGTCGGGGCAGGTCAGTCGGCGTCGGAGGTCAGGTCAGTGTCGGCGTCGGGGCAGGTCAGTGTCGGCGTCGGGGCAGGTCAGTGTCGGCGTCGGGGCAGGTCAGTGTCGGCGTCGGGGCAGGTCAGTGTCGGCGCGTCGGGCAGGTCAGTGTCGGCGTCGGGAGCAGGTCAGGTCGGCGTCGGGGCAGGTCAGGGTCGGCGTCGGGGCAGGTCAGGTCGGCATCGGCAGTCAGGGTCGGCGTCGGGGCAGGTCAGTGTTGGCGTCGGCGTCGGCAGGTCAGTGTCGGCGTCGGGGCAGGTCAGTGCCGGTGTCGGTGTAGGTCAGTGTTGGCGTCGGCGTCGGGCAGGTCAGTGTCGGCGTCGGGCAGGTCAGTGTCGGCGTCGGGGCAGGTCAGTGTCGGGGCAGGTCAGTGCCGGCGTCGGGGCAGGTCAGTGCCGGCGTCGGGGCAGGTCAGTGCGGCGTCGGGCAGGTCAGTGTCGGCGTCGGCAGGTCAGTGTCGGCGTCGGGGCAGGTCAGTGCCGGCGTCGGGGCAGGTCAGTGCCGGCGTCGGTGTTGGGGCAGGTCAGTGTCGGCGTCGGGCAGGTCAGTGTCGGCGTCGGGGCAGGTCAGTGTCGGGTCGGGGCAGGTCAGTGTCGGCGTCGGGGCAGGTCAGGTCGGGGCAGGTCAGCGTCGGCGTCGGGGGGTCAGGGTCCTGGCAGGTCGGCGTCGGGGCAGGTCAGCGTCGGCGTCGGGGCAGGTCAGTGTCGGTATTGGTGCAGGTCAGGGTCCTGGCAGGTCGGTGTCGGTTTGGCGTCGGCGTCTGTACCGTTGATGCCTCGTGGAGACACCTCGGTGAGCTTCAGGCCGCACTCTTTGAGGAAGGCGATGGCGACTTCCACACTGTCGTCTGTGGGACGCTCCAGAAGAAGAGTCAACATCTCCAGACACAACACCTCATGAGCCTGACAGACGGACAGAGAGAAGAGAGAAGAGAGAAGAGAGAGAGAGAGAGAGAGAGAGAGAGAGAGAGAGAGAGAGAGAGAGAGAGAGAGAGAGAGAGAGAGAGAGAGAGAGAGAGACAGGAGGAGAGAAAGGAGGAGAGAGAGAGACAGGAGAGAGTGGAAGAGAGAAGGTGAGGGAGAAAGGGCGGGAGAAGAAGGAGAGTGGGTGAGGATACAGACCATGAGAGACCTGGTTTAGTCCTGGTTCAGTCCCGGTTCAGTCCTATTTTAGTCCTGGTTCAGTCCAGTTTCAGTCCCGGTTCAGTCCTATTTTAGTCCTGGTTCAGTCCCGGTTTCAGTCCTTCATTTTAGTCCTGGTTCAGTCCTTCAGTCCAGTTCAGTCCCAGTTTCAGTCCCGGTTCAGTCCCGGTAGTTTTCAGTCCTGTTCCAGTCCCAGTTTTCAGTCCCGGTTTAGTGTTGGTTTGGACCTGTTTTAGTCCAGTTTCAGTCCAGTTTAGTCCCGGTTCAGTTCAGTCCGGTTTCCAGTCCAGTCCCAGTTTTCCAGTCCAGTTTCAGTCCCGGTTCAGTCCCGGTTCAGTCCAGTTTTAGTCCAGTTTTAGTCCAGGTTCAGTCCCGGTTCATTCAGGCATCTAAGTTTACGTCAAAAAATGGGAAACGTTCTTGGGAAACGGTTTTGTTGTTTTTTCATTTTCTTTCTTTTGGTTTTATTTAGAAAAACAAATGAACAAATGACACTTAAACCTTAAACGAGTCTGAGCTGCCGTAAAGAGACTCACCACGTTCTGGTTGATGAGATGAGCCACAAACTTGGAGGCTGTGAGGCACTGTTGCTGGAAGAACAAAGAACACAAACATGGTTAATTTGTGGAAATCAAACCGTGATCGTATGAACGTGGATGTTTTTTTTTGGAGCTGTACTTTGAGGTTTCGTCTGTAGCTCTTCCTGAAGTTGAGGATGAGGCGTTTGAGGATGAGTTCTCCGATCTGAGGGAACTTGGAGTTGATGATGGCGACGACGGCGGCGTAAACGTGCGTGAAGATGGGAGACGCCGCCTGGGCCTGCAGCACCGAGCGAGCGAGGAGACCCCTGAGGACGAAGAGGGGGAAGAGGAGGAGGTGAGAGGAGATACAAGATCACCAGAAGAGAGAGGAGGAAGAGAGAGAGCGAGGAGACCACTGAGGAGGAAGAGAAGGAGGTGTGAGAAGATACAAGAAGAAGATACAAGATCCCCGAAGAAGAGAGGAAGAGAGAGAGAGCGAGGAGACCACTGAGGAGGAAGAGAAGGAGGTGTGAGAAGATACAAGAAGAAGATACAAGATCCCCGAAGAGAGAGGAGGAAGAGAGAGAACGAGGAGACCCCTGAGGACGAAGAGGAGGAAGAGGAGGTCTGACAAATCTGAGAAGAGGAGGAAGAGAGGGAGAGGAGAGAGAGAGAGAGAGGAGGAAGAGAGGAAGGAAGGGAGGAGGAAGAGAGGAGCGAGAGCGAAGGCACGAGGAAGGAGAGCACAGGGAGAGAGGAAGGCGAAAGGAGGGAGAGCGAGGAGAGAGTAGAGAGAGAGGAGGGAAGGACAGAGGAGGAAGAGAGGAAGGGGAGAGAGAGAGGAAGGGGAGAGGAAGGAAGAGAGGAGGAGAGAGTGAAGGGAGAGGAAGAAGAAAGGAATCAGAGAGGAAGGAGAGAAGAGGAGGGAGAGACGAAGGCGACACGAAGGAGAAAAGAGGGCGAGAGGAAGAAGAGAGGAAAGAGAGGAAGGAGACAGGAGGGAGAAGGAGAGAGGGAGAGAGAAAGGAGAACAAAGGGAGAGAGGAAGGAGGGAGAGAGGGAGAGAGAAAGGAGAACAAAGGGAGAGAGGAAGGAGGGAGGAGGGAGAGAGGAAGGAGAGAGGAGGGAGAGAGGAAGAGAGAAAGAGGAGGAGGGAGAGAGGAAAGAGAGGAGAAGGAGAGAGGAAAAAGAGAGGAAAGAGAGAGGAAGGAGACAGGAGGGAGAGAGGAAGGAGAAGGAGAACGGAGAGAGGAGGGAGAGAGGAAAAAGAGAACGGAGAGAGGAGGGAGAGAGAAAAAAGAGAGGAAAGAGAGGAGGGAGAGAGGAAAAAGAGGAAAGAGAGAAGGGAGAGAGAGGGAAAAAAAGAGAGGGAGAGAGAAGGGAGAGAGAGGAGAGAGAGGAGAGAGAACGGAGAGAGGAGGGAGAGAGGAAAAAGAGAGGAAAGAGAGGAGGGAGAGAGGAAAAAGAGGAAAGAGAGAGGGAGAGAGGAGGGAAAGAGGAAGGAGAGAGGAAAAAGAGGAAAAAGAGAGAGAAAGAGAGGAGGGAGAGAGGAGGAGGAGGAGAGAGGAAAGAGAGGAGAAAGAGAGAGAGAGAGAAAGGAGAGAGAGAAAAGAGGAGAAAGAGAGGAGGAGAGAAGAGGAGAGAGGAAAAAGAGAGAGGAAAGAGAGGAGGGAGAGAGGAAAAAGAGAGGAAAGAGAGGAGGGAGAGAGGAAAAAGGAGGAGAGAGGAGGAGAGAGAGAGAGGAGAGGAAGGAAAGAGGGAAAAAGAGAGGAAAGAGAGGAGGGAGAGAGGAAGAGAGAGAGCGAAGGAGAGAGGAAGGAGGAAAAGAAAAGGGGTAGAGAGCGAGCCGGAAGACCCTTGAGGAGGGAGAGGAGGGAACGAGAGAGAGAAAGAGAGAGAGGGTGAGCCAGAAGATCCCTGAGGAAGAGGAGGAGATCAGAGAAGAAACCAAAACAGGTCCAGATCTGAGAGTCAAAACGGACGGACGCCGTTTTGTGTTTTGTTTTTTTCCGCTGTAAAGCCAATCGGAGCCAGAGCCGATGGAGCCTGAATCGCGCCCACGCTCACTTCCCGTTTGGAGCGTGGCGTCCGGCGTTAAACGTTCTGTGACTCACCTGCCCCTCACGATGTTCTCCTGCAGAAGCTCCTGGATGATGTTCACGATGTTGGACACGTTCACTTTGTTGATGAGACCGTTGATGGATTTCTTCAGGGCCTCCCAGCTCATCCTCTGATACGCCAGACTGAACACGAGAGGAAACAGAGACGTTTATCTAAACCAGGACTAAAACAGGACTAAACCAGGACTAAACCAGGACTAAACCAGGACTAAACCAGGACTAAACCAGGACTAAACCAGGACTAAACCAGGACTAAAACAGGACTAAAACCAGGACTAAAACCAGGACTAAACCAAGACTAAACCAGGACTAAACCAACTAAACCAGGACTAAACCAGGACTAAACCAGGACTAAACCAGGACTAAACCAAGACTAAACCAGGACTAAAACAGGACTAAACCAGGACTAAACCAGGACTAAACCAGGACTAAACCAGACTAAACCAGGACTAAACCACTAAACAGACTAAACCAGGACTAAAAACCAGGACTAAACCAGGACTAAAACCAGGACTAAACCAGGACTAACCAGGGACTAAACCAGGACTAAAACCAGGACTAAAACCAGGACTAAACCAGGACTAAACCAAGACTAAACCAGGACTAAACCAGGACTAAACCAGGACTAAACCAGGACTAAACCAGGACTAAACCAAGGACTAAACCAAGACTAAACCAGGACTAAACCAGGACTAAAACCAGGACTAAACCAGGACTAAACCAGGACTAAACCAGGACTAAACCAGGACTAAACCAGGACTAAACCAGGACTAAACCAGGACTAAACCAGGACTAAACCAGGACTAAACCAGGACTAAACCAGGACTAAACCAGGACTAAACCAGGACTAAAACCAGGACTAAACCAGGACTAAACCAGGACTAAACCAGGACTAAACCAGGACTAAACCAGGACTAAACCAGGACTAAACCACCAGGACTAAACCAGGTCTAAACCAGGACTAAACCAAGACTAAACCAGGACTAAAAACCAGGACTAAACCACTAAACAGGACTAAAACCAGGACTAAACCAGGACTAAACCAGGACTAAACCAGGACTAAACCAAGACTAAACCAGACTAAACAAACCAGGACTAAACCAGGACTAAACCAAGACTAAACCAGGACTAAACCAGGACTGAACCAGGACTAAAACCAGGACTAAACCAGGACTAAACCAGGACTAAACCAGGACTAAACCAAGACTAAACCAGGACTAAAACCAGGACTAAAACCAGGACTAAAACCAGGACTAAAAGGACTAAAACAGGACTAAAACCAGGACTAAACCAGGACTAAAAACCAGACTAAACCAGACTAAACCAGGACTGAACCAGACTAAACCAGGACTAAAACCAGGACTAAACCAGGACTAAACCAGACTAAACCAGGACTAAACCAGGACTAAAACCAGGACTAAACCAGGACTAACTAAACCAGGACTAAACCAAGACTAAACCAGGACTAAACCAGGACTAAACCAACCAAGACTAAACCAGGACTAAACCAGGACTAAACCAACTAAACCAGGACTAAACCAGGACTAAACCAGGACTAAACCAAGACTAAACCAGGACTAAAACCAAGACTAAAACCAAGACTAAACCAGGACTAAACCAGGACTAAACCAGGACTAAACCAGGACTAAAACCAGGACTAAAACCAGGACTAAAACCAGGACTAAAACCAGGACTAAACCAGGACTAAACCAGGACTAAAACCAGGACTAAACCAGGACTAAACCAGGACTAAACCAAGACTAAACCAGGACTAAACCAGGACTAAACCAGGACTAAAACCAAGGACTAAACCAAGACTAAACCAGGACTAAACCAGGACTAAACCAGGACTAAACCAGGACTAAACAAGACTAAACCAGAAACCAGGACTAAACCAGGACTAAAACCAGGACTAAACAAGGACTAAACCAAACTAAAACCAGGACTAAAACCAGGACTAAAACCAGGACTAAAACCAGGACTAAACCAGGACTAAAACCAGGACTAAACCAGACTAAAACCAGACTAAAACCAGGACTAAAACCAGACTAAACCAGGACTAAACCATGAGCAGGAGTTTGGCAGGATGTGTGTGTTGTTATCTGTTGTGTGTTTATTTGTTGTGTGTGTGTGTTGTGTATATTGTTGTGTGTGTCGTGTGTGTCGTGTATGTGTGTTGTGTTGTTGTGTGTGTGTGTGTGTCGTGTACCTGCTCTTGTCAGTGATCTGCTGCTGCATGAGTCGCAGTTTGGCAGGGGTGTGTGTTGTTATCTGTTGTGTGTTAGTTTGTTGTGTTTGTTGTGTGTATTGTGTGTTGTGTGTGTTGTGTGTGTGTGTCGTGTGTGTCGTGTACCTGCTCTTGTCGGTGATCTGCTGCTGCATGAGTCGCAGTTTGGCAGGGGTGTGTGTTGTTATCTGTTGTGTGTTTATTTGTGTGTGTTGTGTCGTGTGTGTCGTGTGTGTTGTGTGTGTCGTGTGTGTGTGTCGTGTGTGTCGTGTGTGTCGTGTGTGTCGTGTACCTGCTCTTGTCGGTGATCTGCTGCTGCATGAGTCGCAGTTTGGCAGGGGTGTGTGTTGTTATCTGTTGTGTGTTTATTTGTTGTGTGTGTTGTGTGTCGTGTGTGTGTGTGTCGTGTACCTGCTCTTGTCAGTGATCTGCTGCTGCATGAGTCGCAGTTTGGCAGGGGTGTGTTATCTGTTGTGTGTTAGTTTGTTGTGTGTGTTGTGTGTGTCGTGTGTGTCGTGTGTGTCGTGTGTGTCGTGTACCTGCTCTTGTCGGTGATCTGCTGCTGCATGAGTCGCAGTTTGGCGGGGGGGATGTAGGCTCCCCCGGTGCGGGTGAGGATTGGGTCCAGTTCTTCTTTCTTCTTCTTCGCTGGAGGCTCCTGTTCTGCTGCTGCGGGAGAGGACGAGCGGCCCCGCCTCCTCTCGTCCGACTCTGGCTCCCGATTGGCTCCTCGTCTGTCGTAGCGGTCGCCACGGCGATCTCTGAGCGACGAAACAAAAGGGGTTGGAGAAGACATCAAACACTGGAAATAACATGTTCCTGTTTGCAGTTTAAAAGTTTTACAGAGGATTTTCCCTGGAAAGAAAAACACAGCGACTGTTTGTCCTTTTTCAAATGTGGCTCATGCGTGACACCCCCCTCCTCCACAGCTCCATAAGAAGAAACTAAAGTAGAAACTGTAATAATAACGAAAATATCTTGATATCGTATTATTAAAGTTCTCACAATAAGATCATGAATTGAATATATTGAATTACAAGTCTGTTTGTTTAAATGAAGAGTCACGGTGCAGCAAAGGTTTAAAAAAAAGACAGAGAGAACTACATAGACCATGATCCTTTGCTCCACTTTGACTAGGGACGGGCATTTGATTAAATTTTCTTAATCGATCGTCAGGAGAATTAACGATCGATTATCGATTAATCATTAACGTTTTTTATATTAAAATGATCATCATTATTATTACTATCTGCACTAATCTGCATAAATAAATTCAACTTTACGACATATAAACATAACGACTCTAGATCCACATCAGCTGTTTGACATTATAATGTGTTTAATTCAGTTTTGTTCAAATCTCACAGAAACTAAACTTAAAACCACATCACTAATTTACATAAACTAAGTGAAGATAAAACTCCAGCTCTTGTGTCGCTGATGTGGTTCAACTTGTGTTGGATTAAAAGACATGACTCAGGTGAATACAGGTCAGTGTGACCAGATTTGTGTTTGTCAAAACCAGGACAGCGTACGGGGGGAGGGGGGCGGGGCCTCGTCATCCACATTGAGCGACTCTCACCTGGAAAAACTTTTTCATGTTTTTCTGTGTCCTGCTGAACTTTTTCCCACTGGACACAGAAACATATGTGCTGCTTTGTACACTGTGCACATGGACTCACACTTGTCTCGACTGGAACGGAAAGCGTGTTGCAATTATGTGCAATTAAAACTACACATAGGCTTAAGGAATGTGCAATAATTATAATTAAAACTGCACATAGGCTTAGGGAATGTGCAATAATTAACAGAACAGAAGAATGCAAAGGGTTTGCCTGTTAAGAATAATTTAAGGTCCTGTTGGTGCATCACTCGTGGTCAGACTTGGCCTCATATTTACTTTGTTTTATGGTGTTTGTTTATGTGCTGCTTTGTGTTGTGTTGTCCTGTTTTTTGATAAATCATGTTACCCCCCTGTCCCAAGACAAATTTCTCCCATGGGAGACAATAAACGATTATCTTATCTTATCATCGTTAAATACACATTTGTGCTTCGGCGTGTTTCAGACTGACCGACTGTTTGTGTCTTGCTCCTTCTGAGTGTAGAGAGACACATGTACGGACCCTGTTTGTCCCCGGACACGGGCGTTTGGTCTCCCTACGCTACGCACAGCAGCCTACATTCGGTTTGTCAATTAAAATGAATGTAATCGATGAAATTCTTAATGATCAATTATCGATTAATCGACTAATCATGCCCATCCCTAGTGCAGACGACAAGAAGAAGTAACAGTTCTAATACTTTTAAGTCTTAGTTTTTTGGATTAAGTTTTGCCAAGAAATTTTAAGATGAAAAAGTCGCATATTCACAGTTTTGTTTCCTCCACAAAATACTACATTAAATATCGTGTGAGATGTATATCGTGAAAATATCGTACTGTGAGGTTGATCCACCCCTCTACATCCTTAATGCAGTGGAACAGTGTCCCAAGCTTTGGATTGGTTGTATTTCTTTGTTTGTTTTTACACAAAAGTTGAAAAACTAAATAAAGAAAAAGTGGTAAAACAACAACAAAAAAACTAGGTCAACATTTAGTATGAACAAATGAATTCAAAGAGGGACGATTTTGTTTGTGATGGTCAGAAGAATGTGAGTTACCGTCCACCGCGTCCTCGGTCAAAACGCTCCCGATCTCTGTTCCTCTCTCTGGATCTGGAACGTTCCCGTCTGCCCCTTCCCCTGTCCCTGTCTCTGTCCCTGTCTCTGGACCTGTCCCTCCGGTCTCTCCTCCTGTCTGCGTCTCTGGACCTGGACCTAGACCGGTCTCTGGATCTGGATCTGTCCCTGTCTGTGTGCTCTTCTCTGTCTGGGATTTGGTCCGGCTCTTCAGACTTGGACTGGTCTTGGTCTGGGTCTGAGTCTCTGGTTTGGTCCCGGTCTGGGTCTGGCTCTCTGGACCCTGATCTGGATTTGGAGCGGTCTTTCTCTGTAGAATCCTGTTCGTCCGGATCTTGGGGTGTGGGCACGGGTCTCTGAAACAGAAAACCAAAGCCGATTTTAAAAACTTGCTGAGTTTTGAACACATTTGTACCACAAGTTTCATTTCCAGCTGATCACTGTTGAAGTGCAGACGACTACTACTACTACTACTACTACTTGGACTATAATTATCACTTTTGTTCCTGGTTTGTGTGTTTCCTGTGACTTATTCTCCGGTGTGACTTCTATATTAAAATGTTTTTGGTGAAGTGTGGAGAGGTTCTAGTCTTGTGTGTGAGTATCTGCTGCTCCTGTTCCTCCTGTACCACTGTCACTTGGCTCTACTGCGCATGTCTCCTGCAGAAAGAGCCTCTGTCCTGTCTGTATCATGTCAGTCGATGGCACCGTTACTTCTGCACCACTGAACAATTTAACATTTAAACTTATAAAGACAAAGACAGAGAAGACTGAACACAAACGCCCCCAAAAAACAAAATCAGATTCTGCAGATTACAAACTGCGAGTCGTGAAATCTGCAGCTGAAAACGATAATCGAGCAGCGGAAAGAAAGTTTGGAGTGAGAGAGAAACTTGTGACACCGGGAGGATGCACCATGAAACTTTCCTGAAGTCACTGGATGGATGGACAAAGTCTGGACTTCAGTGACACTAAAACCATCCTGTCGGGATTCAGAAAGACCCCAATAATTCAAATTGAAACTAGGAATGTAACAATAATCGAAATATCGTGATATCGTATCGTCAAAGTCTCAAACTAATATCGAATCACAAGTTCCTTTGCTTAAATTCATAGTTTTATAGAACCAATAGCTTATAAACATCGGGAACTACATTTCCCATGATTCATTTCAGCACAGACAATATGAAGAAACATGTTTATACTTGAATTCTTGGGAGTATGATGGAACTAATTCACACCAAAATCTTGTCAAGGTATTTTAAAAGTAAAAAAGTGTCACATCTACAATTATACCAGCCTCTGCGACTTATACTCCAGAGCCACTTATAGTCTGAAAAATACAGTAGTTAAATGTATAATGGTCTTGGCCATTTACATTTAGTGCAAGTAGTACAAGTAGTGCTGATTTAAGCACTTTTCTAATTTGCCATTTTCTACCACAGAATGGATAAAAACAACAGTGAGGCATGTGAAAGACGCTCGGAGCTTGTGGTTAATTCTGCAGAGTAAACAAACTCGTTGAGCGTCCACACCAAAAGGCTAAATAAGGTATCAGAGGAACACAAATGTCTTTTCTGTGTGTTTCTTGCGTGTTCTTGTGTGTTTTAAGCGTCCACAGAGCCTCCACAGTCTGTGTTTAACCTGCTCTGGGTGTTAGCGGCAGAATTAGAAGCAGAAATCAAGAGCAGCTGCTGCATCTACGGGTCTGAGTACTCGTCGATACAGATATCTGAAAAATGTGTGATATCGGTTTGTATTAGGGATGGGCATGATTAGTCGATTAATCGATAATTGATCATTAAGATTTTCATCGATTACGTTCATTTTAATCGACAAACCGAGTGTAGGTTGCTGTGTGTATCGTGACCAAACAGGTGTGTACATGTGTCTCTGCATCAGAAGGAGCGAGACACAAACAGTGGGTCAGTCTGTAACGAACCGAAGCACAAATGTGGATTTAACCAGGATTTGCACAAGAAATTCCACACTTTCCGTTGCGTTGGGACAAGTGTGAGTCCATGTGCACAGTGGATAAAGCAGCACATATGTTTCTGTGTCCAGTGGGAAAAAGTTTTTCCAGGTGAGAGTCGCTCAATGTGGATGACGAGGCCCCGCCCCCCTCCCCCCGTACGCTGTCCTGGTTTTGACAAACACAAATCTGGTCACACTGACCTGTATTCACCTGAGTCATGTCTTTTAATCCAACACAAGTTGAACCACATCAGCGACACAAGAGCTGGAGTTTTATCTTCACTTAGTTTATGTAAATTAGTGATGTGGTTTTAAGTTTTGTTTCTGTGAGATTTGAACAAAACTGAATTAAACACATTATAATGTCAAACAGCTGATGTGGCTCTAGAGTCGTTATGTTTATATGTCGTAAAGTTGAATTTATTTATGCAGATTAGTGCAGATAGTAATAATAATGATGATCATTTTAATATAAAAACGTTAATGATTAATCGATAATCGATCGTTAATTCTTCTGACGATCGATTAAGAAAATTTCATGGAATGTCCGTCCCTAGTTCGTATCATATTGGAACAACCCTAGACTGTGATCTTCCAGTCAGCTGCACACGGCCCCACACGCTCTCAGGGGAGGAGCCCAAATCCACAAATCCAGACTTCACATGTGAAAACCGTTGTGCAGCGACAGTTTAAGTGAGAGTAATAAAAGACGTGTGTGGTGCACCGACCGTAACGTGGGCCACGCTGCTCCGGAGCCTCCTCATCGCCCCCTGGTGCTCGTCGTCCTCACTGCTGCTGCTGCTGTCGCTGTCGTCCTGGTCGTCTTCAGCGCCAGAGGAGGAGGAGGAGGAGCTAGAGGGCGAGGGGGCGGGTCTCTGGGACTCTGACGTTTGACCCTCTGACGGTTTGGACTCTTCATCTGAATAAAAGACAGGAGCGTTACAGCCAAGAGCTCCACAGAAACCTGACACGTCTTTTCAGTGATGTGTGACTAATGGTGTTGTTTTTAGTCAAACTGAATGTCTGTTTTTGTTTCATGTGGACAGGCTCAGTAATTACACCAATATGAACCATAAACCTCAAGGATCCAGGACACTGTGGCATGTAGACATAGTATTCTGATTTCTCTAAACCACAGGTGTCAAACATACGGCCCGGGGGCCAGATCCGGCCCTCCAAGACCTTTAATCTGGCCCTCGGCTGATTTTCTACAAAAATATTTGAATGATATTTTCTATTAAAATCTTGTTAATTTTCTGTGGTGTTTATGAAGACTTGTCTCTTTCCAAACGCTCTTAAAGGACGATCGTTTTGACTGTTGACTGTAACACCCTCATCAGAAAAATGTCCAACATGAGAAAAGTGGAGCCGAGTGCAGGATTTTACAAGAAAAATTGACTTATTCCTATTTGCAAACAAATTCATGTTAAAACATCGTGTTGAAATTGTATTTTTCTTAAAGTTTCAGGTTGCTCATAATATTATGATATTTTGTAAAAGAAAGAGTTCATCAATTAAGAAAGATTTCTGTAATAGATTTGTGTTTCTCTGCACAAATATTTGAACTTTGGGATCAAAGTCGGTTGGATACGGCCCCTGGACCAAAATGAGTTTGACACCCCTGCTCTAAACTGTAACTGGAGCTGTACTGAGCAACTGCAAACTAAAGTAATAAAAATAGTGAGAGCAGTTACTTAGCCCAAAAAAACTCATATTCCTAAGAGGACTTTTTACGTAACAAAACTGGGCATCATTAAGAAGCTGCCGATACAACACCTACCTCGATACACAGGCCACGATACAATATATATGTCGATACAGTGAGCTTTTGATTCGATACGGTTTTAAAAAAAAAAAAGTCTAAATCAGGGGTCGGCAACCCAAAATGTTCAAAGAGCCATATTGACCCAAAAAAACAAAAACCATACCTGCCTGGAGCCGCAAAAAATTAAGTCTTATATAAGCCTAATATGAAGACAACACAGGCTGTCAGTATATGAGCTGTATAAGCCGACTATTAAAATGACTAAGTTGGCTACAAATACAAAATGAACATTCATGATTACACAAAACCCTCTCATACTCGGTGCGCCGTCTGTAGCCACTGAAATCAGGTGGTTAAAAAATGACTTTTCCTGTAGCTGTGTCAGAGTGCCTTAAATTGGCAAAGTTTCTACATGTTTAGCTCCGTGCCATCTGTGCCATAGTTACCATAGCAACCAGTCTAAATATTCAGGATGTTCTGATTCATCTTGTGCACAGAGACATGAGTGTCCTGGTTTCTCTGAGCGCAGGTAAACACCAAATCCAGAACTCTGCCAGAACCCGGGGTAAGACTCATACCGGTTTACTCGTGCACATGTAAACGCTCTCAAACAGTATTCCACCCTCACATTTTACATTTTACTCAGGCCATCGACGTGAAGAAGGAGAAACAGAACCAGCACTCACCGCTTTGGTCCCTCTGAGCCGGACTGGGGCTGCTGTCCGGAGAATCCATCACTAGAGACAAAAACACAAACGTCAACAACAACAACAACAAAAACTCAAGACTGTGACCAGATTTTCAAAATGCAAAACTGGGATAAATCCAGGGTGGGATGTTTGGTATAAATAAAACAGTGAAAAGAGCGAGTAACATTGTGCATTCTGACAATTTATGCCGCTCTTTACTGTTGGCAGGGATCAGATTAGTCAAGAATTGTGATAGTCCTGTTTTAGTCTTAGTTTAGATCAGATTGGTCCAAGATAACGACACCTGGGACATTTCTTGTGTAAAACTGGGACAAATCACTGCTTTTGTATAAATCTGCTGGGAAATAAGACTCAAAACTGGGACTGTCCCGGATCAATACGGACGTCTGGTCACTCTAGTCTAGACTAAACTAGCACCGAGCGATTTTCTCTGTTACTTCCACGGTCCCTCCACAACTCAAGATCTTTCACTACTGGCGCCAACTCTCGGAAAATTCATATTCACAAAACAAATCCGAATCACTTCCAAAATAAAATACAGCAATGTGTGAAGAATCCCTCGGTCGTCCAGGGAGAAACCACAACGAGGAGAAAGTTCAGTTTGTCGACTGACGTTTATTTGAGTCAGATCTGGTTCAAACTAAGCCCGTCACAGTCTCCTGGTTTTGCTTTTTTATTTTATTTTTTTTAAACACAAGGGGTCATCATACATTTAATGCCATAAATGAAACAAAACAAAGATAACTTAATTACAAGAAATTATGTTATACAAAATTATAAAAAAATGTAATGCTCAGAGGAGACAACTGATCAATTTTATTTTATTTTTTTTACTTTGGTTTAAATAATTAAGTTTAATGCAGGGTATTGTAAGTATTTAATGGCCAAATTATATAATTTCTCAACTTTTATAGTTACTGTCTTAATGGCTGTAAAATATTGCTGTATTTCTTGGTGAGGAGAAAATTCAGTTTGTCGACTGGACAAAAGTTAGTTTGAAGACGTTTTTCTGAGCTCATCCAAGCTGCTTCTTCAGTTCTGGTCAGACTCTGGTGGACACTTCCTTATATCTGTCTGCAGGGAGGAGCTAACTACACTGAAACTCCTCTGAAACTAACACACACACACTTGTTTACAGTTTGTGTTTGTTAGTTCGGCCTGTTGAACTGTACAGGGTTTTGGGTCTAATTAGCAGAACAGTTCATGTCCATAATGGAGCTTCTACACCTCTGGACCTGACCTGGCAACACCTGTTGTTCTCTTGTTTGTTTTGATTTAGGTTTGAGGATGGAGTTGTAAATAGGAGATAGATGGTGTCTGAGTCCGTTTCTGTTTAGATATGGATTCTCTTTCTTAACAAAAATAACTTATTTCACTTCCCTCTCAAATAATTCTTTCCTCTGGCTAAAATCTGTACCTCGCTGTCCTCAAATAAGTGCCCCGTGGCTTTTAAGTGGAGCTGCGAAACGTCTTCAACCAAACTTTTGTCCAGTCAACAAACAAACTGAATTTTCTCCTCACCAGGAAATACAGCCAGTAAATAAAACGTTGAGAAATGATATAATTTGGCCATTAAATACTTACAATACCTGCAATAAACTGAATTATTTAGACCAAAGTAAAATAATGAAAATAATAATCATTTAAAAAAATTGATCAGTCGTCTTCCGTGAGTTCATTTGTTTACATTTTTAAAAATAATTTTGTATAACATAATTTCTTGTAATTAATTAATTAATCTTGTTTTGTTTCATTTATGGCATTAACTTTATGATGACCCCTTGTGTTAAAATAAAAAAAAAAATTACATAAAAAAGCTAAACTAGGGAACTGTGATAAACTGAACTATTTAAACCAAAGTAAAAAAAAAAAAATAATAATAATTTATATATATATATATATATATATATATATATATAATAAAAATGTATAACAAAATAAAATATAATAATAATAATAACAATAAAAATAATAAATAAAAAATTGATCAGTCATCTCCTCTGAGTTCATCTGTTTACATTTTTTTATATATATAATTTTGTATAACATAATTTCTTGTAATTAAGTTTCTGCATCTTTGTTTTGTCTCATTTATGGCATTAACTGTATGATGACCCCTTGTGTTAAAATAAAAAAAAAATGTAAAAAAGCAAAACTAGGGAACTGTGATAAACTGAATTATTTAAACCAAAGTAAAAAAAATAAATAAATAATAATAACAATAACAAAATAAAATATAATTATAATAATAACAGTAATAATAATAATAATAAAATACAAAAATAAAAATATAATAATAATAAATTAAAAAGGGATCACTCGTCTCCTCTGAGTTCATTTGTTTACATTTTTTTTTAAATAATTTTGTATAACATAATTTCTTGTAATTAAATTCCTGCATCTTTGTTTTGTCTTATTTATGCCATTAACTGTATTGTGTTAAAATAAAAATACAAAACCAAGTGATTGTGCCGATCTTAAATTGACCCAGATTTGACTCAAATAATCCTTAAACTCAGCAGAAAATCACCACGGAACAAATACAAGCTGCACTTTAGTCGCCTGAAAAATAAAATATATGTGGGTAAAAATCCGAGTTTTCTGTTCGGTTCGTAGATAAATAATAAAAAAGACCAGCGCCATGTGTTTGTTTTTCACACACTTAGCTCCGATGCTAACCCGAGCTAATTCATTGATAAATACACTCGTCTGATCCAAATAACCACAGCTCCGCGTTGGCTCTTTGTAAAACTCTGCGTACTGAACTCGAGGATGTTAGAATATCACATTTAATCGCGTCCTCACCGTTATTTCGTGGACTTTTGCGTTAAATCTCGGCCGCGCTTGTTGCGCTTCCGTCCCGCCGGCGTCACTTCCGGGTTAGACGTCGACTTAAAGGTTCCGGATCCTGCGGCAGATTCACGTGCTGCCCCCTTCAGGTGGATTTAGGGTTTGTTTATTTATTTATTTATTTATTAACGTATTTATGTATGTATGTATGTATTTATGTATGTATTTTTGTATGTATGTATATATGTTCATATGTATGTATTTTTGTATGTATGTTTGTATGTATGTATGTATGTATTTATGTATGTATTATGTTTGTATGTATGTTTGTTTGTATGTATGTATGTATGCATGTTTGTATGTATGTATTTTTGTATGTATGTTTGTATGTTTTTATGTATGTAGGTATTATGTATTTCTGTATGTATGTATGTATGTATGTATTTATGTATGTATGTATGTATTTATTTATTTTAGTTTTTATATTTATTTTATTTATTTTTTTATTACAGATTTTCGGGTACAAACAAAAACGACACCTTATAAAAACAGTTCACATGAAAATTAATGCATTAAAAAACACAACAGTAAATAAAAATATCCAAGTATAAAAGGGGCGATTTCAAAGCTCTAATTTAATGGAATAAATTAAACTTCAAAAAAGACATAAGAAGACGCACACACACACACACACACACACGCACACACTCACACACTCACACACACACACACTCACACACACACACACACTCACACACGCAAACTAACATGCTAAAATACATAATATGATACAGTAAAACCAGAGGCTGAAGACTCAGTTGAGAAAGTTCCATGAGAAGAGTCGTCCGCCGCCACCAGGAGCTGCCACAGAGCCCATGTTTTTAAATCTCTTATCTACTTTACAAGTTCTGAACTGGATTAATTCTTGTCTAGAAGTCGTTTATTTTAAGAAAACTTGTCAAGTAAAATGGTCTTGCTGCATGGACACATCATTTCACTATTTTTATGTCATTTTCATTTTGTCCTTATGCCCTGTCGGGGCTCGGCCTAATTAAACTAATAAATAATAATAATTGATTTTTTTCAAGCAAAAACAATAAATGCATTAGTACAACGACAGGATATTATACATTTTTTGAAAGTTCTCCAGATTCCCCACATCACCGTGAGGTCAACAGACTTTTTTCACAAATACCGGAGGTGCCACGATGTAGGTAAACGTAACTCCTGGTTAATGCTTTTCTACAGTTAAATATCTGTGTAAATGTTTGGCGTATTCTCCACCAGCTTCATAAATCTGTCCATCCATCTATTTTCTTCTGCTTATCCAGGGCCGGGTCACAGGGGCATCAGTCTAAGCAGGGACTCTCAGACTTCCTTCACCCCAGACACTTCCTCCAGCTCCTCCAGTGGGACCCTGAGGTGTTCCCAGGCCAGCCAAGAGACATAGTCCCTCCAGTGTGTCCTGGGTCTTCTCCGATGCCTCCTCTTGGTGGGACATGAACACCTCCTGAGGGAGACGCACAGGAGACATCAGAACAGACGTCCTCCCCTCAGACGCTCCTCTCGACGTGGAGGAGCAGCGGCTCTACTCCGAGCTCCTCACTCTGTCTCTAAGGGAGACGCCCGGACACCAGCGCCAGACGGAGGAAACTCATTTCAGCCGCTTGCATCATGCATCTGGTCCTTTCGGTCATGACCCAGAGCTCATGACCAGAGGTGAGGGGAGGAACAGAGACTGACGCTAAATCGAGAGCTTCACCTTTCGTCTCAGCTCCTCTTCACCACAGCGGTCCGATACAGCGACCGCATCACTGCCCACGCTGCACCTGTCCACCTGTCAATCTCACGCTCCATCCTCCCCTCACTCAAGAACAAGACCCCGACTTGAACTCCTCCACTTGATGCAGAGACTCTCCACCCGCCCGAAGACGACAAGACGCCTTTTTCCCGTCCAGAACCACGACCTCGGATTTGGAGGAGCCGATCTTCATGGGCTTCTGTGCATCCGTAATGAAAATAAAAGCTTATATTTTAAACAAATAAATAAATAAATAATAATAAATGAAAAAAACTCCAAGTGCAGACAGACTGTGGTATTATTCCTCCCCTCACTAGATGGTGCTGCAGCCCGTCCTCCGAGCACCAGTCCTCCGGGGCCCCTTCCCCCGCCCCGCTCTCCCTCTCCGGGGCGCAGATGCTCCCCGTGCCCGGTCCTCCCCGGTCCTCCCCGGTCCACCCTCTCCCCGGAGCGCAGACCCGGTGCCGATCATCTCCACCGCCGCGGCAGGAGCAGGAGCAGGAGCGGTAACGCCATGGCGGTTTGGGGACGCGGAGAGCGTGCGTAAACTGTGTGCGTAAAGTGTGTGCATGTGCGCGCGCCTCGCTCCCGCAGCATGTTCGTGTTTCTCGTGTGCATGTTCGTGTTGCTCGTGTGTGTTGTGGTCTGCATGGCGACAGTTTCAGTTTAATTTCACATGTATGCTAGCAGGCCTCCTCGTGCCGTTTTATTTACTATTTATGACAATTGTGTAGAAAGAAAAAACACGCACGAGTCTCTCCCCGCATCTCCCTCCAGTGTCGGGTTTATAACTCACAGTCTAGACGTCAGTTGTTACTGTATTTAGAGCTGCTCGATTATGGAAAAAAAATCATGATCACGATTATTTTGGTCAATATTGACATCACGATTATGATTAACGATTATTTTTTAGTTACACAATGCATTTATTCAGCGTTTCTCTCTCAAAAAAACACTTTGTTATGGATGATTTACGCAAAACTTTCTAATTGAAAATAAATTCGGGCTACAAATTTTTATGATTCATGTGCCGGTTTCACTTGGTGGAAACCGTGTGACCTCGCAGCATTAGGATTCGTTCGACAGTGGGCGGGGACTTTTTTAATTTAACCAGTCGCTGCTGTTTGGTCGTGACGTATGTAATGCTCCAAATCCTGTAGGAAGAAGGACAATAACGTCTTTCCCCGAGATAAAATTCACCAAACATTTCCTTTGTTCCGCCTTTAAATCCTCGATCTCGGGAATCGTTGACAACACAGAATGTCTGTCTCTTCTCTGATTGGCTGGTGCTCAAACTCGCACTTCCAGGGTTTTGGTAAACCGTCTAGTGTATTTTGATTCCTGACTGAGTCGCTGGAGAGAAATTAAATTGAGCGGAGCACCAACCTGACTAGTTTTGCGACGTATAAAACATAAAATGAATAAAATAAACTTTGAACATGAAATAAGGCAGAAAAACATAAATGTGTCTAAAATAAACTCTATATCCAGCTGTTATATAATCTCTATATTTAAAACATAAATATATTTATTTATATAAAAAACATCCCAATATAAACTTTGTTAAGCTTTAAGCGTTTCAGTTCGATAATATGAGTTTGTAGATCGTTTAACACGACTAATGAAATGATTTGGGTTTTTTTCAGTTTTTATGATTTAAATTGTAATGCTGGACTTCTGATCTGCTTACGGACTGAACCAGGACTAAACCAGGACAAAAATAGGAGTAAAACAAGTCTTAACCAGGGCTAAACCAGGACTAAACCGGTCTCAGTCCCGGTCTCAGTCCTGGTCATCCAACAGTCTACGCAGGCGCAGCTCCAGGTCCGTCCCGACAGTCCTGGTTCAGTCCTGGTTCAGTCCCGGTTCAGCCCTGGTTTAGTCCTGGTTTAGTCCTGTTTAAGTCCTGGTTCAGTCCTGATTCAGTCCCGGCTTAGTGCTGTTTTAGTCCTGGTTCAGTCCCTGGTTTAGACCTGGTTAAGTCCTGTTTTAGTCCTGGTTCAGTCCTGTTTTAGTCCTGGTTCAGTCCTGTTTTAGTCCTGGTTTACTCCTGGTTCAGTCCGTTATCCATTTTTTCCATTTTTCATTTAAGCACAAAATCGAAAATTGAAATCTGTTTTTTCATTTTGGTTTTGGAGACAAATAATGAAGAAAATAATTGTTTTTTCATTTTCTTATTTTTGGTTTTATTTTGAAAAACTAATGAATGAATGAAACACAGATGTTTTTGTGGAGGTTCCAACATTCTAACATGATTTAAAACTCCCGACAGCGAGTTTTGTGTTTTATTTTTCGTCTTTGGTGATTTGTTTTTGTTTTCGTCTTCGCAGAGTTCGTATGAGGTTTGGACTCGGGGGACCTGGTGGTGCGACACGATGGTGATCGACAGCCCCATGCTGGACGACGGGAGCGGCGACCGTCCTCCGAGCCGCCTGTGCTCCGTGTGCGGGTGCAGCTTCAGCCCTGAGCCCGAACCTGACCCCGCCCACGACCCCGCCCGCTGCCCGTCCTGCGAGCGCGGGGGCGGCGGCGACGGCGGCAGGCGACCGAAACGCCGCGCCCGTCTGGACCCTCACTCCTGCCACGTTTGCCACAAGACGTTCATCTCCTCCGCCCACCTCACGCTGCACCTCGCCACCCACAACAAAGAGAGGAGGTTCCGCTGCGGCGTCTGCGGGAAACACTTCAAGCAAAAGTCCCACCTGGAGGCGCACAGACTCATCCACACCGGCGAGCGCCCGTTTAAATGCCCCGAGTGCGGCAAGTGCTTCGGCCGCGCGGCGCACCTCAAAACCCACCGCAGGATCCACTCTGGAGAGAAGCCCTTCCAGTGCTCCGTCTGCGGCAAGTCTTTCACGCAGAAGTCGGGTTTGATGGCGCACATCCAGCGGCACGCCAACAAGAGGCCGCCGGCGCCGTGCCACGCCCAGAGACCGCAGCCCTCGAGCGGCCCGGACGATCTCAAGTGCGGGGTCTGCTGCCGGATGTTCGTCAGATCCTCCTACTACAGACTGAGGAAGAGGCTGCGCAGAGGCTACAGGCCGTACCACTGCAGGGTCTGCAACAAGACTTTTGCCAAACTGGAGTCCTTCGGGAACCACTGCGACAAACACCTCCGGCTCAAGAAGGAGAAAAAAGAGGAGAAGGAAAAGAAAGAGGAGGTGGAGACGGAGGAGAGGGCGGCGTCTCTTTCTCCCGAGTCCTTCTCCGGTGAGTCTGAGGCGGAGATCCACAGCAGCCCCAAAGCCAAGGCCAAAATTAAACCCGAGTCATGAGGGAAAAAACGGAAAATGTCCAAATAAATAAAGCGTGTAAACCTGTTGGGGGCGCCGCACCCACCACGTCTGACACTTGATTTGTGATTTATGAAGGAACTTTGGAGATTCAAGGACTTGGAAAAAAGAAAAAGTCTCAAAGGTGCTTCAAGAAATGTGATACTACTACTACTACTACTAGTAGTACTACTAGCTACTACTACTACTACTACTACTACTACTACTACTACTACAACAACTGCTAGTACTACTGCTACTGTTACTAATACTGCTACCACCACTACTACTAGTAGTACTACTGCCACTGCTTCTACTGCTACTAGTACTACTGCTACTTCTCTTCTCTTCTACTACTACTACTATTACTTCTACTGCTACTACTGCTTCCATTTCTACTACTACTACTAATAATAATTTTACTAATACTCTTACTACTCCTGCTACTACTACTACTACTTGTACTTTTACTTCTGCTGCTACTACTGCTACTGCTACTACTTCTACTTCTACTACTCCGAGTACTACTACTGCTACTACGACTACTACGTACTTTGTTTTTTTGCACTCTTCTTTGTGGCAGTGTTTGTGTTTTGTTTTTTCTCTTGTGTATTTTGTCTTTTCTCTTTTCCTCGTGGTCACTGAACAGAAACACAAACACAAACAGACTGTGGACGTGTCAAACATTTACTCATGAAAATGTGACTTTTGCACTATTCAAATATTTACTAAAAAAACATTTTAAAACAGAGTATATGTATATTTTAGCTTTACATGCAGCGTGTAGTCCTGGTCAGAAGGAGACATTTTTAAGGCCCTGTACCTGATTTTTTTTTTCTCATTTATTTGTGAAAAATGTGTCTTGACCCAGGATTTGGATCTCAAAATCTGTGTGAAATACCTTTACTTTTGACTGTTTAAGTACATTTTTAAACAGGTACTTAAATACTTTTACTTTTTCATGTGATACTTGAGTTTTTGTTTTTGTATCTGTACTTTTACTTCAATATGAAAATAAGTTGAAACGTGTTCGCTGCTGCTGTCTGCTTCCAATTATAGTGTTTTTAATGTCTTAATAATCAGGAAGTGCGTGTTTGCATGCTAGCCGTTAGTTTTACCGTGACTGTAAAACTTCGCTCTGGTCTCTGATGGGGACGTAACGATATCCAAATCTCCCGGTGAGATATTTTTATGATGTTTAAAGGTGCTTAAAACCTGTTATTTGTATATATTATATTTAGTCTGCATTGAAACAGCAAAGGATCATGGTCTATGTAGTTCCCTCTGGTTCTTTTAGACTTTTGACGATACGATTATCACGATATTTCCGTTCTCGTTACGTTCCTGGTCTCTGAGAGTGGTGGAAAGTGCTTAAGGCAGAGTCCTGCACCGGTCCAGTTTTGGAGACTCGCACCTGCCGGCACCTGCACTGTACAGGACCGCACCTGCGCTGTACAGGACCGCACCTGCGCTGTACAGGACCGCACCTGCGCTGTACAGGACCGCACCTGCGCTGTACAGGACCGCACCTGCGCTGTACAGGACCGCACCTGCGCTGTACAGGACCGCACCTGCACTGTACAGGACCGCACCTGCGCTGTACAGGACCGCACCCGCCCGTTAACCCGTGATTATATCGAAGTTAAATCTGCACCCGCCTGGACCCGTTAAGATTCCACCTGTTACCCGCCCGTACCCGAGATAACTCTGGGTCAGATCATTAGTCCAGGACTAAACCAGGACTGAACCAGGTCTAAAACAGGTCTAAACCAGGACTGAACCAGCACTGGACCAGCACTGGACCAGGACTAAAACAGGACTGAACCAGGTCTGAACCAGGTCTAAACCAGGTCTAAACCAGGTCTAAACTAGGACTGAACCAGGTCTAAACCAGGACTGAACCAGGACTGAACCAGCACTGGACCAGGACTAAAACAGGATTGAACCAGGTTTAAACCAGGACTGAACCAGGTCTAAACCAGGACTAAACCAGGACTGAACCAGGACTGAACCAGCACTGGACCAGGACTAAAACAGGATTGAACCAGGTCTAAACCAGGTCTGAACCAGGACTAAACCAGGACTAAACCAGGTCTGAACCAGGACTAAACCAGGACTAAACCAGGACTGAACCAGGACTGAACCAGGTTTGAACCAGGTCTGAACCAGGACTGAACCAGGTCTAAACCAGGACTAAACCAGGACTGAACCAGGTCTAAACCAGGACTGAACCAGGACTGAACCAGGTCTAAACCAGGTCTAAACCAGGTCTAAACCAGGACTAAACCAGGACTAAACCAGGTCTAAACCAGGACTAAACCAGGACTGAACCAGGTCTAAACCAGGACTGAACCAGGACTGAACCAGGTCTAAACCAGGTCTAAACCAGGTCTAAACCAGGTCTAAACCAGGACTAAACCAGGAGTGCAGTTCTCGAGTCGATCTCCTCCGCTGATAGTGTTTTTATTACAGAAAACCAAAGTCTCTCAGTCTGGTCTGTTGTTTGTTTGTAAAGTCGGGAAATGTCTCTTGTTTCCAGGGCAACGGTATTTTTCTCCCGTCCGTGTCTAATCACTACCCGCCTGTAAAATTCCAGAACATTAAAACCCGCCCGTTTCAGCAAATATTTACGTGTACTCGACCCGGTGCAGGACTCTGGTCTGGACTGAAACGGTAAAACAGCAAAGGATCATGGTCTATGTAGTTCCCTCTGTTTCTTTTTGCTGTTGCTGCACCAAAACAATGAATATAAGCAAAAAGACTTCGATATATTGTGATGGTTCACGATATTCTTGTAAGACTTTTGACGATTATCACGATATTTCTGTTATTGTTACATCTCTGTCATGTCTCTGAGAGTTTTGAAAAGCGCTTTAAACTCATCGTGGTGAGAAATTAAAAAGCTCAGAATGCAAAAGGGAAGAGAGGAAGAACTGTGGACCAACGCAAACTGTTTTTACGACGGTACAAAATCAGGTACAGCGCCTTTTTACTTTTATCTGATTTAAATTTTTAAACTGAGGTAAAAGCTTAAACACTCCGGGTTTCACCCTTGTATATCAAATTTAAAAGGTGCACTATGTAACTTTTCGGTTGTGGGTCCGTCATTTGCTTGTTTTTATTCAATTACAGGAGGTTTTATAGCTCAAAAATACGTTAAGTTTCACAACACACCTTTAAATCTGCTTTGAAACGAGTCAGAAATGTCAAAAGTTATAGATTTTGTTCTTGATAAATGAGACGATGCATGTTTTGTCTTTTTGTTGATGTGAAAATGACGGAAAAAAACGAAAACAAAACGAGTATTTGTATATGTGGACGTTTTATTTCTTTTTGGAGGCATTTGAAGCGTTTTTGTAAATAATAAAATGATTAAATTATGAACAGAAACGTGTATAAAAATCACTGCATGGAGTGTGTGGCGTGTTTATTTACGATCATTTGGTCCTGTCACCTCCACATGGGAAACGTCTTGGATCCAACCTAGAGACGAGGAAAACAACAATTAGCGCTGGAGTCAGACGACCTTCCCAAGAGGCAGAATAAAACAAAAGCACAAACAGAACACGCTCACACAACAGAGACAGTGAAACGTGCAGATTAAATATTTAAAAGTGTTAAAAGCCTGTGCAGTGATCCTGTAAAATACTCTGAGTGGAGTTTTTAAAAATCAGAAAGACGTAGAGTTATAAACACGGTGTTCTGGTATATTTAATTATTTTATTTAATAATAATAAAAAAAATAAAAAAAGTAAAATAGGACATTTTGAGGGGCTGGACGACGTCATTGGCCCAAAATAAAACAGTTCATATCTTAAGAACAATAATCACACAAACCAAACTTTTTGCAGCACAAACAAAACACAAACGACTTCATTTTGTGTCGTTTTAGAGCATTTTGAAGTTTCCTGGAGGCTGCTGACTATCAGACTACGTTCAGACTGCAGGGCTTAACGCTCAATTCAGTTTTTTTATGAAATCTGATGTTTTTTCGAGGTCGTTCACATTTCCAGTTAAATGTGACTTGTATGTGACTCCAGTGTGAACATTAAACAGCCCAAAAGTGTCCCACATGTGACACTGGAGACACGACGACGTCAACCGCAGCGAGCGTCTCTGTGTTTACACAAGTTGTCCAAACATGGACGCAGCATCGAGCACCTGGAGATTTTAAAGTTCCTCTCGTACCGGAGCCACAACATGAACAACTTACTTGTTTTAAGGAGGAGATTGAGAAGGAGAAGGACGAGGTTTTTGGTCGTGGTGTTTTGTGGGACAGAACGTTGAAAGGAACGTGTGAATGTGGAGACGGAGCCAAGAGTGGTGAGTGGAGATGTGCTTCACTTCAGTCACAGTTACATATCTGATCTTTTGACATGTGACTTCAGTGTGAATGGTCAAAGCGCATTCATCCACCTACACGTTATCAACAAGACACAAACGTCACTATTCTGCGCTGAAGTAGGAGAAAACTGTTCATGAACTCCGTGTGACTGAAGTGAAGCACATCTCCACTCACCACAAAACACCACGACCAAAAACCTCGTCCTTCTCCTTCTCAATCTCCTCCTTAAAACAACTAAGTTGTTCATGTTGTGGCTCCGGTACGAGAGGAACTTTAAAATCTCCAGGTGCTCGATGCTGCGTCCATGTTTGGACAACTTCTGTAAACACAGAGACGCTCGCTGCGGTTGACGTCGTCGTGTCTCCAGTGTCACATGTGGGACACTTTTGGGCCGTTTAATGTTCACACTGGAGTCACATACAAGTCACATTTAACTGGAAATGTGAACGACCTCGAAAAAACATCGGATTTCACAAAAAAATTGGAATTGAGCGTTAAACCCTGCAGTCTGAACGTAGCCCAAGTGTCCTGGGTCACATTTGAAAAAATCGGATCTGTGTGGTTCAGACTGACATTAAAAGATCAGATACAGGAACATTGAGGCCAAAAAAATCTGGATTTGGGTCACTTCAGGCTGCAGTCTGAACGTAGCCTAACTTAACCTATGAAAGAATCTTTAATATTTCCAAAACTAAAGCAGCACAAATGAAACTTTTCACTGCACAAACGACGGAGATAGTTTTTGTGTAGGTTTGGGTTTAATGCGGGCAAACTTTTCGCAGTTAGACGTGAGCACTTGCCTCGCCGTGTTCCTCGGAGCTGCTGTGATGGGTCCAGTTCAGGGTGACGCTCATGTGACGTCTCCAGGTGGGGTTTCTGCGCAGGACGACGGAGCCGCTGATCCGCTCCCCCTGGTGGACGCTCACGGGACTGTCCAGCATGAAGAGCGTCTGCTTCCAGTGCGTCGGCCTGGGAAACGAGAGATGAGAGTGTCACTTTTTTTCATGGTTTGTGTGTTTCCTGTGACTTATTCTCCGGTGTGACTTCTATATTAAAATGTTTTTGGTGAAGTGTGGAGAGGTTCTAGTCTTGTGTGTGAGTATCTGCTGCTCCTGTTCCTCCTGCACCACTGTCACTTGGCTCTACTGCGCATGTCTCCTGCAGAAAGAGCCTCTGTCCTGTCTGTATCATGTCAGTCGATCGCACCGTTACTTCTGCACCACTCAACTATTTAAATTTATAAAGACAAAGACTGAGAAGACTGAACACAAACGCCCCCAAAAACAAAATCAGATTCTGCAGATTACAAACTGCAAGTCGTGAAATCTGCAGCTGAAAACGGAAATCGAGCAGCAGAAAGAAAGTTTGGAGTGAGAGAGAAACTTGTGACACCGGGAGGATGAACCATGAAACTTTCCTGAAGTCACTGGATGGATGGACAAAGTCTGGACTTCAGTGACACCGAAACCATCCTGTCGGGATTCAGAAAGACCGAAATAATTCTAACTGGAGCTGACGCTGAGTCTGACGACAGCGACACAGAAGAGTTTGCGTCGCTCTGTTTACCTCCGGAGGTCGAGTTGTTCAGAAGTGACACCGAGGATGAAGAATTGAATGGATTTAGTGATTTGGAGTGAGATGGAGAGTTTGGTTAAACTTGTTCTGTTCTGTTGTTTATGTTATAGTTTATCTGAAGAAACTGTGAAATATGTGACGTTAACATATTAACGCCTGTTCAGTCTGTTGTTCTCTGTTGTGTTGTTACTATAACTTGCCTTTCAAGGTGAAATGTCGGTTCCTGGTCTCTGATTTTACAAAATACATTTCCCCAAAAAGTGCGACTTCATTATGCATTTTTTGGTTGGTGCGATTTATACTCCGGAGCGACTTATAGTCCGGAAAATACGTCATATTTGCTGTAAGTCGCAAGTGAAATTATAAATGCAAACTTACTGTACGCTTCTTTTCTTTCTTGGAATTCTGTCAAGTTTAATACAGTACTTTTTACTTCAGTCTAAACCCTTTCAGTCATGATCTATGGCAGGCATGTCCAAACTATGGCCTGTGGGCCCAATTCGGCCCTCAGACAAATTTTTCTTGGCCCTCAGGCTTCCAGAAGAATTGGCCCAAATGACCTTGCATCAATATCTGGGTTTCACGTGACGTCACAGGGCGACGTTTGTCAGCACGCAAAATCAGACGGAGGCAGGAAGTGAACTGACTGGAGGAAAACGCCGATGTGTTGTGTAGTTTACGTCTGTGCCAATCGTTCTAACCGAGAGAAGGAAAAGCAATTTTTTTTTAGAGAACCAAATATAGTCGATCCACAAAGGTCAGAAATGGGAAAAGCCGACAGAACAACGCCGTAAAAAGTGGATTACAAACCTGTTTGCGGTCGGGAGGAGCAGAATTCACTAATGCTCGTGTCTGCAGTGACACTTCAACAAAGGTTTGTTACAAAGATAAATTGTTTTTTGTGGTTTACCTAAACATAAACAAATCATTAACGACGAACGACGTTTGTTGACATTAAATAGTTCAGATCGAGGTCACTGCCGATACACTGCAGTTTTTCCCATAACGTCTATACACATAAAATAAGAGAAACACTCACCCCGGCCAAGACCAAACCATAATCATCATTTAGGTGTTTTGCACCGAGGTTGAGGACCCATCCACTGACAAAAAAAATTCTATGCCTCCAAACTTTTGTACTTTGCCTTCATCTGTTGTCTGGTGTAGAACGACGTCTGAAGAGATAAATAGTTCATGATCTCCTCTGCCTCGATTGTCGGCAAATCTTTTACTTCGGTCGAAAATTCTCTCATTTTCAATAAGATCAGGGTCACGTCCAATATATTTGTCGACTAACTGCTCGTACTTTTGCCTCGCTCCTGGCTCTAAATCCTGACAATAAGAACTCTTCTCCATATCTGTGTTCTCCAGAGCCGTGTTTGTTTGTCGTGTTTGTCTTCACTTCCTGCCCTCCACCTGAAATTTGCGCATCATCGTGATCACGTGACTGAAACCCTCCTGTTAAAAATTAACTTTTTACTGCAAGTTTTTTGAAAATCTACCTTGATAAAGCTCATATTTAACATTGAGTGTGTGGTTTTCAGCATGAATAAAGACTGATGTTTCATTCTAACATGTTAAACCTGCACATATTTCAATGATTCACTGTATTGAGCTCCAGTCTACGGCCCTCGATCAGTCCTCTGCTTCATCTGTGTTTAGATCTGTGGTCCTTGATGAAAAAAAGTTTGAACACCCCTGATCTATGGGGCTGTAGTCTATGTTTTGTTTCGTAGCGCTGCAAAATGACCAAACAAACTACTACACATGAGTAATTTTTATACTCAGAAAAGGGTCCCGTGTGGAGCTGGACCTCCTCTCCTCCAGGGGTCAGACTCTCGAAGCCAACGCTGAACCAGGCACAGAATCCGTGGAAATCCCCCGATCTGTCCACACCGAAGTCAAACTGTCCCTCCATTTCCTGAAAACCCAAACGGACATGAGAGCTGAGACAACGACACGCTTTCAAATAACTTTTATACACACTTAAAACCTCCTGCAAGTACAAATGTTCAGACTGCAAAACCAACAGTAAAATAAAATTAAATTAATGAATCATGTTACACTGAAGTAAACAAAACTTTAAACAAAACTTAAGTGTTGTGTAAAGATTTCCAACCAAGACGTAACATTTTAACCCAAAATAATGACCAAAGTGGAGGGAGAATTATATATATTTTTTAGGTAAATCTGAAATATAATAACCTGTGTTTTAGTAAAATGAGTCGTCCAATTTAAAGTCTGTCCATGTGTCATAATTAAAGCGTGTGTGATTTTCTAATTTCTAAAACTTATTGTAAACATAAGTTATTGTAGTAATTATAGTTTTACGTGAATGAAGAAGCAATTTGAGAAAAAAGTTGAAAAATATGTTGAAAATTACAGGAAGTGCTGAGAGAGTTCAGTTTTTGAGAGTCCCACACGATGACATCACACTGGGAGAATTCAGTCTAAAATTTCGGAACAGTTCATACCTAAGAATCACTTTTATCAGTGACATTAAACATTGTGTTTTTATTACTTTTTTTGTGTTTTTAGCCTGCCAAAAAAATGCCAAATTGGGAAAAATAAAATAAAATCTTTAGGAAAATGTTGAATATAATGATCTCAACTGTGTTTCACTTTAATTAAAATGTTTTAAGTATCTATACTTTACTTACCGTATTTTTCAGACTATAAGTGTGACTTTTGTTCATGGTTTGTGTGTTTCCTGTGACTTATTCTAACTGGAACTGAGTCTGAGTCTGACGACAGCGACACAGAAGAGTTTGCGTCGCTCTGTTTACCTCCGGAGGTCGAGTTGTTCAGAAGTGACACCGAGGATGAAGAATTGAATGGATTTAGTGATTTGGAGTGAGATGGAGAGTTTGGTTAAACTTGTTCTGTTCTGTTGTTTATGTTATAGTTTATCTGAAGAACTGTTCATATGTGATGTTAACACACACTGTTCTTCTCTCTTCTATTGTTTTTACTACAACTTGACTTCACACAGGAAATGTCTGCTCCTGATCTCTCATTTTATTAAATACATTTCCCCCAAAAAGTGCGACTTATAGTCCAAAAAATACGGTAAGTACATTTTACAGTGGATACTTTTTAGTTTTTTTTTTAAATGTGTGCTTCTTCAAGAAAAGAACACACACACGATCTGTGGGGCTTGCAAAATACTTACTCTTAAAGTGCATTTTTAAACAGCTGATTCAATTATTTGTTCAATTATGTAGATTTTTTCCTGTGATACTTTTACTTGAGTAACTTTTTGCCCCTGTATCTGTACTTTTACTTGAGTAACAAACTTGAGCACAGTTTGTATTGTGATTATGCGTGTGGTGGAGCAGAGCAGATACCTCCAGGTCTTGCACCGTGAGCGTGTACATGTTGAGCGAGAGGACCTCAGCGGGCGCGCTCAGACAGTCCTGTGGATCCAGAACGTGACTGAACTTTGGTTTGGAGAAAAACTCCTGCTCCGCCAAAGACCTGAACACACCAGGACAGAGACACGGGTAAACCTCTGTAAAAACACGACTGTCTGGGGTTGTGTCTGATCAACAGTTAGAATCTGTGACGCACGAGGATCATTAACTTATAATTTGGACGTTTTAAAATCAGAATATTGAACTAAAACTTAAGAATGAAATCTCGCCGTGACTCAACTGACCTCAACACCTTCAAGAAAAACCTCAACACTCATCTATTTCAAGTGTGTAGGTTTGCACGGGGCAGGGGTCTCCAACATTTTTCCTGCGGTGAGCTCCTTTACGAAACAAAAATGCCAAAGAGCTGCTCATTTTAGCAGCCGCAAAATTTATAATAAAGAGAGTGAGCCTTTGGGTAATGTGAGAGGCCTGTGAAACGCAAACCACTGTCCATTTATTAGTGCAAAAAGTTGGACTTCAGAATTACACATTTAAAATAGTAATAGGCATGTAATTAATCAAATTTTTGTAATTAAAAAAAAAAAAAAAATTATCCTTCTTTTCACTATATTTATTTATTTATTCAATTTACATATTATTATTATTATTATTATTATTTTACTTTTTTACAATGGAGATTGGATATTACAGTGGAGGAGAGTAATGGGAAGGGGGGTTTGGGGAATAAAAGAAATGGTCACATTATATGACATCTGCTCCAGAGCTACAGGTTGGAGACTCCTGGCACAGGGACGGTGGGGACAAAATAGTCCCGACCAATATTTGCCATTTTATTTTAATAAACAAAAATATAAATTTATGCTGATATTTTTCCAAACTCAATAGTATTAACTGAACATGTTTTAGTTCACATTTTTTTTATTAATTGTTCTGAGATGTGTTCAGTGATGTGTCGACAGGGTTACACCTGCCGCTGTTTCATTGGCTGTAACAGAGTGATGTCATCAGTGGAGCCTAAACTGGGGAAGCGGCAGGACAGGGCCGCACCTGAACATGTCGACTTAAGCAGCGTGAGTGAAGACGCTGCACCAAACTCTGAAAAACCTTTTCAAAAGGAACTCGACTTCATCTTCAGTGAAACTTGTTTTATAATGAGTCGCCGCAGAAAAAGAGCGACTTCACCACAAGTGCTCCTTCTAAAAAGGAGCTCTACTCGAGCTCTGTGAGACCCCGACTCTACTGACAATATTCATAGACATATGGAAAAATATTTGGACATGACCTCACAAATATCTCATCACCAACAAGCAAAGAGAAATCTGCTACAAACGTCTACATCACTGTTCTCCACTGAACAATCATCTTAGAATCTCTGTGTTTTTGGAAAGAATTCATAAAACATAAATGCAATTTTAAACTTTCTTATAAACATGTGCTGTTTGGTTTTTGCAGTGTGCATCACACGAAAAGTAAATAATATATAATTAATCTGTTAATCAAGTCACCTGTCAGATGGTTTAATGATCTATTCAGACCAGAGTTCTCCACCCTTTTCAAAGCAGCTCGCCAAAGGATTTCTGAATTATACATATTGTGCTGAATAAGTAAAATTGGATTGATTTAATGCCTATTACCACTGCAAATGTATAATTTTGATGCATAACTTTGTGCACTCATAAATGGATAACAGTTTGTTTTCGAGACATCGAGCTGTACGTCATCTCAGGCTCACCGTGGATCTTATATTTATTCAGTTTCTTGTGGACGCTGAAACTACCATTTAATGTTGAAAATGTTGAGTGTTTTTTTTTTTATCATCATGGTATCAGAATCAGTATAGAGGCTTTGCACCGTCACGTGTCCCCATGGCAACGGTATCTACGCCGCCATGACACCGGGGACGCTATGTCACTGACTTCAGCAGCATTGGAGAAACATGGGCAGGTTTTGTTGTGTATTTGGTTGTTCTAGACGCTCTGAAAGGATAAAACGATTCGTTTCTTCACTGTTCCTCTGGAAATGACTCATCAGGATCAAACAAGGGAATTATCGAAAAAAAAACAGGAATTATGTCTAGAGAACATAAACCATGAAGAGATTTCCAATGGTCCCATCAAGACACACGTCACTTTCATCAAGGTGTTTGTTATTTAAATTGTTTCATAGTTTATTTAATGAGAGAAGCACATTTACTGAACTAAAATGTAAAAAGAAAACATCTGCAGTAGAAACTGTATGTTCCAGCACATATAAACATGTCACTCGTCGTAGGACCCATGTTTTCTTTATTGTCTTGTTTATCCACAACTTTGTCTTCTAGAATTAATCTCTTTTTGTGAGTGGATCTTTCTAACGTTGGCGAGGATCTTTTCATGGTCGATTCTTTCGAGGTTCGGCTCACAGACTCTTCGACTCGTGCGTCGTGTTGATCACAGGAGCCCAGTGTGGGTTCGTTGAATCGTAAACTAGTGCAGGTTTTCCTGGATAAATTAATGAAATTTTAGTTCAGTAAATGTGCTTCTTTCATTAAATAAACTATGAAACAATTTAAATAACAAATACCTTGATGAAACTTCGGGTGTCTTGATGGGACCATTGGAAATCTCTTCATGGTTTATTTTTTCTAGCTATAATCCGCGTCTTTTTGTCGATAATTCCCTTGTTTGAGTCATTTCCAGAGGAACAGTGAGAAAACAAATCGTTTTATCCTTTCAGAGCGTCTAGAACAACCAAATACACAACAAAACCTGCCCATGTTTCTCCGATGCTGCTGAAGTCAGTGACATAGTGTGTCCGGTGTCATGGCGGCGTAGGTACCGTTGATATAGGGACACGTGACGGTACAAAGACTCTATTGAGTGACAAACAATGATAAAGACATAAAAGTTGTATTGTGTAACATTTAAGGTTGGTGATGTGATGTTGGTGGGACTGACTGCAGGGGGCTGAAGTCCAGGCCGTAGAGATTCTTCCAGAAGGTGAAGTTCTCTGTGTAGAAGTCGTGGGCCTGACAGGGCACGAGGAGCAGAGCAGCGGACGAGGGCCACATCACCCCCCCCTCCGCCAACCAACGCTGACGGGCGACCAGCACCGACTCCACCATGAACTCAAACTGCACGCACACAAAAACACACACAAGTAAACACACAAGAACACAAACAGACACACAAACACACTAGTTTTTTGTTGAAAATCAAACTTCTCAACAGGACCATGAACAGCAGGGGTGGAGACGGCAGGAGACGGGGCTGCGTCCATGCTCCTAGTTGAAGGTGGGCACGAGTTTGCTTTCTGTTTTGAAGCGGAGTTTGTTCGCTGTTGAGTGACATCGGTGCACACGCGGCGCTCGTATGATGAGGTCGTGTGTGTGCGTGTACATGAGCCACTGTGCCGTGATTTGGCCCAGCTCCTCTGGCCGTGCCGTGGTTCGGCTGAGCTCACACTGGACAAGTGTGCCGGGCTTTGGGGACTGTCTGTGCTTGGGCGCGGTTCTAAAGTCCTAGTGTGAGTGCACCTTAATGTTTGATACATTTTAGAATGTTTAACTCGTCACGTTTCGTCTGTACGCAGGACTCTCCTGCAAGAAGCACTGTGTGTGTGTTTTGTTTTCCTCGTTCGCCTGCCAAAATATTTGCTGGCAAATGTGAGTGAAATGGGTGAACTGTAGAGCCCAGAGTCCAGTCTGTCAGATCTAAACAAAGACTAAACCAGGACTGAACCAGAACTGAACCAGGACTAAACCAGGACTGAACCAGGACTATAAATATAACATTTAAAAAGTGTTTAGAGTTAAGAATGAAAGTACAGCTGGGAGCTGTGTGTATTTGTGTATATGTGTATTTGTATACTTGTATATTTGTATACTTGTATATTTGTATATGTGTGTATAAGTGTGTATGGGTATATTTGTGTATATTTGTGTATATTTGTATATTTGCTTTTATCACCAGTGGAACAGACGACTGTAATGTCCTGCTCTCTGCTCTTCCCAAAAAGAGTATTTCAGGTTTGCAATTATTACAAACTTCAGCAGCATGAGTCCTGATGAGGACCAGAGGTGGGACCACATTACACCAGTTTTAAAATCACTGCATTGGCTCCTGTGAGTTTCAGGATCGATTTCAAAGTTCTTTTACTGGTTTTTAAATGTCTTAATGGTCTTGGGCCTTCTTATCTTTCAGAACTGCTTTTACCCTACGAACCCTCGTGGACCCTGAGCTCCTCCGACAGCAGCTCCTGGTCATTCCCAAAGTCAGGACACACACTCACGGAGAGGAGGCGTCTTTCCAATACTATGGCCCCCGTCTATGGAACTGCAGCCGGAGGAGCTCAGGGCCAAAGAGAACATTCATGTTTTTAAGAGCAGGCTCAAGACCCACCTTTTTAGCTCAGCTTTTGATTAAATTCTTATACTTTTACTTGTTTTTATTGTACACATTCTATTATATTTATTTATTTTAGGCATATTTTTTAGGATTTCCAGTGTTTCCTCTGTAGGAGCCTCTGCATCAGGGGTGTATGTGTGTATTTGTGTGTGTATTTGTGTGTGTGTATATTTGTGTGTGTATTTGTGTATATTTGTGTATATTTGTGTGTATTTGTGTGTGTGTTTTGTGTGTATTTGTGTATATTCGTGTATATTTGTGTATATTCGTGTGTGTTTGTGTGTATTTGTGTGTATTTGTGTGTGTATATTTGTGTGTATATTCGTGTGTATTTGTGTATTTGTGTATATTCGTGTGTATTTGTGTATTTGTGTGTGTATTTGTGTGTATATTTGTGTATATATTTTGTGTATATTCGTGTGTATTTGTGTATATTCGTGTGTGTTTGTGTGTATTTGTTGTTTTCTCACCAGCAGACAGTTGCCCATCCACTCCGACAGCAGCACGTCGACCTTCTGCGGCAGCCGCACCCGCTCTGCCCGCCCCTGCACCACGCTGACCACGCCCTCGCACCCGTTCTGTCTGACCAGGGCGCGCGTGTGCTCCGCCATCGGGCTCGCCTCCACCGCGTACACCTGCAGCACACACGACACACACGACACACACGACACACACAAACACACGACACACACGACACACAAACACACAACTGAAGAACTGAACTGTGCGAGGGTCACAAACAGAAAGAGAAAAAGGAGGTGTTTTACTCCCGTGGGGTAAAAACTGTTAAAACACAACAGATTTACACCATCATGTTTACTTTTAGTGTTTCAAAATGCTGCATTTACAAAAAAAAAAAAAAAAAAACATACCAGGTCTAAACCAGGTCTAAAGTAGATCTAAACCAGGTCTAAACCAGGACTAAACCAGAACTAAACCAGGATTAAACCAGGTCTAAACCAGGTCTAAACCAGGACTAAACCAGGTCTAAACCAGGACTAAACCAGGTCTAAACCAGGTCTAAACTAGGACTAAATCAAGACTAAACCAGGACTAAACTAAGACTGAACCAGGTCTAAACCAGGTCTGAATCAAGTGTAAACTAGATCTAAATCAGGTCTAAACCAGGACTAAACCAGGACTAAACCAGGACTGAACCAGGACTGAACCAGGACTAAACTAAGACTGAACCAGGACTAAACCAGGACTGAACCAGGACTAAACTAAGACTGAACCAGGACTAAACCAGGACTAAACTAAGACTGAACCAGGACTAAACCAGGACTAAACCAGGACTAAACCAGGACTAAACCAGGACTGAACCAGGACTAAACCAGGACTAAACCAGGACTGAGGACTAAACCAGGTCTAAACTACGTCTAAACCAGGACTGAACCAGGACTAAACTTGGTCTAAACCAGAAATAAACCAGGTCTAAACCAGGACTAAACTAAGACTGAACTAGGACTAAACCAGGACTAAACCAGGTCTAAACTACGTCTAAACCAGGACTAAACTAGGCCGAAACCAGGGCTAGAAAAGACCAAGTAGTGTAAACCAAAAATAAATTCCAGGCATAAACGAGGACAGAAAAGCAAACGTGTTCAAATTAAAGACGAGGTGTTAAGTGTAACACCAGAAAAAGTTCCACAGTGCACCTTTAGGCAGTGATTTGGAGCACGGCCGACTCGTGGCCCGGCGTTCTGAGGTCTTACCCGGCGGTCGTACCTTGGCGGGTCGGGCGAGTCGGGCGCAGAAGAGGCTGATGACGCCGGTGCCACAGCCCAGGTCCAGAACCACTTTGTCCCGGAGGAAGTCGCGGTTGTTCAGCACCACCTGCCTGTAGGCCTCGGTACGACAGCGGTCCGACAACATCTCCAGGTGAAGCTTCTGCGCACAAAAAACACACACAAAAATAATAAAAAACACACACACGACAATGGTCCGACAACATCTCCAGGTGAAGCTTCTGCGCACAAAAAACACACACAAAAATAATAAAAAACACACACACGACAGCGGTCCGACAACATCTCCAGGTGAAGCTTCTACACAAAAAACACACACAAAAATAATAAAAAACACACACACGACAACGGTCCGACAACATCTCCAGGTGAAGCTTCTGCACAAAAAACACACACAAAAATAATAAAAAACACACACACGACAACGGTCCGACAACATCTCCAGGTGAAGCTTCTACACAAAAAACACACACAAAAATAATAAAAAACACACACACGACAGCGGTCCGACAACATCTCCAGGTGAAGCTTCTGCGCACAAAAAACACACACAAAAATAATAAAAAACACACACACAAAATAACAAAAAACACACACAAAAATAACAAAAAACACACACACGACAGCGGTCCGACAACATCTCCAGGTGAAGCTTCTGCGCACAAAAAATACACACAAAAATAATAAAAAACACACAAAATAACAAAAAACACACACAAAAATATTAAAAAACACACACAAAATAACAAAACACACACACAAAAATAATAAAAAACACAAAATAACAAAAAACACACACACAAAAATAATAAAAAACACACACAAAAATAAAAATAAAACACACACACAAAATAACAAAAAACACACACACAAAAATAATAAAAAACACACACACGACAACGGTCCGACAACATCTCCAGGTGAAGCTTCTGCGCCACAAAAAAACACACACACAAAATAATAAAAAACACACACACAAAAATTATAAAAAAACACACAAAAATAATAAAAAACACACACACGACAGCGGTCCGACAACATCTCCAGGTGAAGCTTCTGCGCACAAAAAACACACACAAAAATAATAAAAAACACACACACGACAGCGGTCCGACAACATCTCCAGGTGAAGCTTCTGCGCACAAAAAACACACACAAAAATAAAAATAAAACACACACACAAAATAACAAAAAACACACACACAAAAATTATAAAAAACACACACACAAAAATAATAAAAAACAACACACAACAAAAATAATAAAAAACACACAAAATAACAAAAAACACACACACGACAGCGGTCCGACGACATCTCCAGGTGAAGCTTCTGTGCACAAAAAACACACACAAAAATAATAAAAAACACACAAAATAACAAAAAACACACACAAAAATATTAAAAAACACACCACAAAATAACAAAAAAACACACAACAAAAATAAAAAAACACACACAAAATAACAAAAAACACACACAAAAAATAATAAAAAACACACAAAATAACAAAAAACACACACAAAAATATTAAAAAACACACACAAAATAACAAAAAACACACACAAAAATATTAAAAAACACACACAAAATAACAAAAAACACACACACTGGGTCATTTCTGACGTCGGTTTTGAGGCGACTTTTGTTTTACTTTCTGTTCAACTAACGTTCAAATAATGCTCTTACTACTACTACTACAATAACTACTAATACTACTATTACTACTAAAACTACTCCTACAACAACTACTAAAACTACAACAACACCTACTACTACTACTACTACTTCTACTATATCTACAAATACTATGAACTACAACTATAACTACTACTAATACTACGACTAGAACACCTACTACTACTTCTAAAAGATGTACTACTACTACTACTACTACAACACCTACTATTGCTACTGCTACTACTACAACATGTACTACTACTACTGCTACAACTACCACTGCTGCTGCTGCTACTACTACTACACCTACTACTACAACATGTACTACTCCTATTAAAACTACTACTAAAACTACGACAACACCTACTACTACTACTACAACAACACATACTACTACTAGTAATACTGCTACTACTACTATTACTACTACACCTACTACAACATGTACGACTAATACTACTGCTACTACTACTACAACAACATATACTACTACTACAACATGTACTACTACTATTAAAACTACTCCTAAAACTACTACTAAAGCTACAGCGACACCTACTACTACCAATACTAAAACATGTACTAATACTACAACAACTACTATTACTACTAATACTACTACACCTACTACTGCTACTACTACTACTACTACAACAACACATACTAGTACTAGTAGTACTGCTACTACTACACCTACTACAACTACTGCTACTACAAGTACTATTACAATGACTACTATTACTACCATTACTACTATTACTACAGACTTTAAGTCTAACCCCCATAAAAATGATAATGATAAATCACAGGTGTCAAACATTCGGCCCGGGGGCCAGATCCGGCCCTCCAAGACCTTTAATCTGGCCCTTGTCTGATTTTCTACTAAAATATTTGAATGATATTTTCTATTAAAATCTTGTTAATTTTCTGTGGTGTTTATCACAGCAGCGTCTCCAGCGTCTCTGTACGTGGCCCCTCCCACCAGAGCAGCACAAATGAAGACTTGTCTCTTTCCAAACGCTCTTAAAGGACGATCGTTTTGACTGTTGACCGTGACACCCTCATCAGAAAAATGTCCAACATGAGAAAAGTGGAGCCGAGTGCAGGATTTTACAACAAAAATGGATTCATGTTCATTCATGAAATAGAATTTTTCTTAAAGTTTCAGGTTGTTCATAATATTATGATATTTTGTAAAAGAAAGAGTTCATCCATTAAAAAAGATTTGTGTAATAGATTTGTGTTTCTCTGCACAAATATTTGAACTTATTGTTATTTTTGGGGTTTATGTGACATGAGTTTTCTGATCCGGACACTTTGGGATCAAAGTCGGTTGAATACGGCCCCTGGAACAAAATGAGTTTGACTCTCCTGTGATAAATGACTGAAGTGATAAACAGATAAAGTTCCAGACCAGAGTCCCGTAGCTGCTGAAGTATTCCACATCCTGCCAGGGATCCTCCTCCTCCTCCGCGTCTTCCTCCTCTTCCTCGTCCTCGTGCCCGGGTCTGGAGTGCGAGGGTGGGCCGGTGCTGGGGTTGGCAGGGCGGGTGCTGACGCGGCGCTCGAGCAGGTGACTGGCAGGGACGTAGCCCACCTGGTCGCCCCTCAACTCCGCCCACCACCAGTCCTCACAGGGTCTGGAGTGGACCAAGAGTCTGTCCCCACAACTGAAAGACAACTACAACCACAGAGGACAGGTCAGAGGACTAAACCAGGACTGAACCAGGTCTAAACCAGGTCTAAACCAGGTCTAAACCAGGTCTAAACCAGGTCTAAACCAGGTCTAAACCAGGACTAAACCAGGTCTAAACCAGGACTGAACCAGGTCTAAACCAGGACTAAAACCAGGACCAAACCAGGTCTAAACCAGGTTAAACCAGTCTAAACCAGGGTAAACCAGGTCTAAACCAGGACTAAACCAGGTCTAAACCAGGCCTAAACCAGGTCTAAACTGAACTAAACCAGGACTGAACCAGTCTAAACCAGGACTGAACCAGGTCTAAACCAGACTGAACAGAGGTCTAAACCAGGTCTAAACCAGGACTAAACCAGGCCTAAACCAGGTCTAAACCAGGTCTAAACCAGGTCTAACCAGGCCTAAACCAAACCAGGTCTAAACCAGGTCTAAACCAGGTCTAAACCAGGACTCAAACCAGGTCTAAACCAGGACTGAACCAGGTCTAAACCAGTCAAACCAGGCCTAAACCAGGCCTAAACCAGGCCTAAACCAGGACGAACCAGGTCTAAACCAGGTACTAAACCAGGCCTAAACCAGGCCTAAACCAGGTCTAAACCAGGCCTAAACCAGGTCTAAACCAGGACTAAACCAGGACTGAACCAGGTCTAAACCAGGACTGAAACCAGGTCTAAACCAGGTCTAAACCAGGCCTAAACCAGGCCTAAACCAGGCCTAAACCAGGACTGAACCAGGTCTAAACCAGGACTGAACCAGGTCTAAACCAGGACTAAACCAGGTCTAAACCAGGTCTAAACCAGTCTAAACCAGGTCTAAACCAGGTCTAACCAGGTCTAAACCAGGTCTAAACCAGGTCTAAACCAGGTCTAAACCAGGACTGAAACCAGGTCTAAACCAGGTCTAAACCAGGCCTAAACCAGGTCTAAACCAGGACTGAACCAGGTCTAAACCAGGACTAACCAGTCTAAACCAGGACTGAAACCAGGTCTAAAACCAGGACTGAACCAGTTCTAAAACAGGACTGAAACCAGGTCTAAACCAGGACCAGGTCTAAACCAGGACTGAACCAGGTCTTAAACCAGGACTGAACCAGGTCTAAACCAGGACTAAACCAGGACTGAAAAGGACTGAAACCCAGGACTAAAACCAGGACTAAACCAGGACTGAACCAGGTCTAAACCAGGACTGAAACCAGGGTCTAAACCAGGACTGAAACCAGGTCTAAACCAGGACTAAACCAGGTCTAAACCAGGACTGAAACCAGGTCTAAACAGGACTGGAAACCAGGTCTAACCAGGACTTGAACCAGGTCTAACCAGGACTGAACCAGGTCTAAACCAGGACTGAACCAGGTCTAAAACAGGACTGAACCAGGTCTAAACCAGAACTGAACCAGGTCTAAACCAGGACAGAACCAGGTCTAAACCAGGACTAAACCAGGTCTAAACCAGGACTAAACCAGGTAAACCAGGACTAAACCAGGACTAAACCAGGTCTAAAAAAAGGACTAAACCAGACTAAAACACTGAATCAGGACTGGACTAGGTCTAAATGAAAACTGCACCAGACCTAAAACTGGGACTCAAACAGGACTAAACCAGGTCTAACCTAGGTCTAAACTAGGACTGAACCAGGACTAGAACAGACCAAGTACAGACCAGGACTAAATGAAAACTAAACCATACCTAAAACTAGGGCTCAATCAATACCGAACCAGGACTAAACCAGGACTAAACTAGGACTAAACCAGAATTAAACTAGGACCAAACCAGGACTGAACCAGGACTAAACCAGGACTAAATCAAGTCTAAACTAGGACTGAACCAGGACTAAACCAGAAATAAACCAGGTTTAAACCAGGTCTAAACCAGGACTAAATCAAGTCTAAACCAGGACTGAACCAGGACTAAACCAGGTCTAAACTAGGACTGAACCAGGACTAAACCAGAAATAAACCAGGTTTAAACCAGGTCTAAACCAGGACTAAATCAAGTCTAAACCAGGACTGAACCAGGACTAAACCAGGTCTAAACTAGGACTAAACCAGGACTAAACCAGAACTAAACCAGGTATAAACCAGGACTAAATCAAGTCTAAACTAGGACTGAACCAGGACTAAAAACAAGAACTAAACCAGGACTAAACCAGGACTAAAGGTCAAGTCTAAACCAGGACTGAACCAGTCTAAACCAGGACTAAATCAGGACTAAATCAAGTCTAAACCAGGACTGAACCAGGTCTAAACCAGGACTAAACCAGGTCTAAACCAGGAACTAAACAGGACTAAATCAAGTCTAAACTAGGACTGAACCAGGACTAAACCAGAACTAAACCAGGTCTAAACCAGGACTACACCAGGACTACACCAGGACTACACCAGGACTACCAGGACTAAACCAGACTAACCAGGACTAAACTATGACTAAACAGGACTAAACCAGGTCTAAACCAGGTCTAAACCAGGACTAAACCAGAACTGAACCAGGACTAAACCAGGACTGAAGGACTAAACCAGGACTAAACCAGGACTGAACCAGGACTAAACCAGGTCTAAACCGAAAATACATTTCAGAACTAAACTAAAAATGACCTGAGTGTTTAAACTCTGTCCCAAACCGAACCAAACCAAACCGAACCGGACCAGACCGGGTCAGACCTGGTCAGATCCTGAGGCTGTAAAATCCGACAGAGCCACAAACTCCTCTGCGCACGCGCCCTCCTCCATGTCACGCGCGTGCACATCCGTCTAGCAAAGTTATAAAAGTGCACAATTATAAAAAATAAAATAAAATAAAATCAGAACAATTTTAACTCATGCTCCAACTTTAAAATGAACCAAAACAAAAGTGCAGGAGCGCGTTCTTCTTCTGGGACGTCAAAAAGACCGAGAGAGCGACGTCACGTGGACACAGCGGCACCTACTGGACCAGAGGAGAATTACAACAACAAAAACACAACATTTACTTCAAGAAATATTAATTAGTTTGTTAATTAACTGTAATGTAAAAGTGAATAATATAAACATTTACCTGAGTAAGTTTTTAAAGGACTTTTTAAAATGACTTTTAAAGGTCTAAACCAGCACTAAAACAGAATTAAACCAGGACTAAACTAGGACGAAACCAGATCTAAACCAGGTCTAAATCAGGACAAAACTACCTCTAAGCCAGGACTAAACTAGGACTAATCCAAAACTAAACAGGACTAAACCAGGTCTAAAACAGGACTAAACCAGGTCTAAACTAGGACTAAACCAGGACTAAAAAAGGTCTAAACTAGGACTAAACCAGGACTAAACCAGGTCTAAACTAGGACTAAACCAGGAATAAACTAGGACTAAGCCAGTTCTAAACTAGGACTAATCCAAAACTAAACCAGGACTAAACCAGGTCTAAACCAGGTCTAAACAAGGACTAAATCAGGTCTAAAAGAATAGGACTAAACCACGACTGAACCAGGTCTGAACCAGGACTAAACCAGGACTAAACTAGGACTAAAGCAGGACTAAAACCAGGTCTAAAACCAGGACTGGACCAGGACTGAACCAGGTCTAAACCAGGTCTAAAACCAGGACTAAACCAGGACTAAAACCAGGACTAAACCAGGTCTAAACTAGGACTAAATCAAGTCTAAACCAGGACTAAACCAGCACTAGACCAGAATTAGACCAGGACTACACCAGGTCTAAACCAGGACTAGACCAGGACTAGACCAGGACTACCACAACTGAAGAAGCAGCTTGGATGATCTGCCGAAAAGATTCTATTCAAACAAACTTTTGTCCAGTGACAGAGTGAATTTGTCATTTGTGGTGGATGGGACCTGGACGACTGAGGGATTCCACGAACATGTGGGCTGAGCACTGCACAGAAATATACTGCTAACTATGAGGAGTGTTGGGAAGTTTACTTTTAAAATGTAATCCCCTACAGATTACAGATTACACACCCCAAAATGTAGTTTGTAACATAATCCATTAAATTACTTAAAGTGAGTAACGTAATCTGAATACTTTGGATTACTTGATATTGTCATGGTTTTTAAAACTACATGAATGTACCAACCACATCCTGAAAATTCTTGTTTGTTCTCTTCAAATTGGCCCTGGTTTTAGTCCTGGTTTTAGTCCTGGTTTAGTCCTGGTTTAGTCCAAAATGTGAAAACAGGAAAGTACCGCTGTGTAATCCATTTATTTCAACAAAGTAACTGTAATCCAATTACCACTCACTGAAACAGTAACTGTAACTGAATACAGTTACAGTGAATGCAGCTTTAGATTATAAAAAGAGAAAAACAAAGTTTAAAGTTTAAAGTTTGTTTTATTGTCAGTTTCTTCACACACAAAGGAACCGAAATGTGGTTTGTCTCTGTTCCGTGTGCACAGACACAATAACATCATCTCTGAACACGACTCCACAGATAAACACATGAAGCTACGACACGAGTCACATCAAGTCACATCCAGTCACAACAAATCACAAAAAATCACATCGAGTCACATCAAATCACATCGAGTCACATCAAATCACATCGAGTCACATAAAATCACATCCAGTCACATTGAGTCACAACAAGTCACATCGAGTCACAACAAGTCACATCGAGTCACATCGAGTCACATCAACTCACATCGAGTCACATCAAATCACATCGAGTCACATCAAATCACATCAAATCACATCGAGTCACATCGAGTTACATCAAGTATTAGCAGCAGTGATAAAAGCAGCAGATGGTTTAGTGCAGAACAGAGGGACGTTTCTTACATGGGTCTAGTGCAAAAGGTAAATAGTGTCAAAGGTAAATAGTGCAAAAGGTAAATAGTGTAAATAGGGCACAAGACTTTGAGTCTTTCAGATTTCAGACACAACAACTCGGCGTGTTCAGGAGCTGGGTTAATGTTTACATTATTACAGTTTGTAGGTCATGCAGAAAGTCGTCTTTATTGGTTTTATTGTTGTGCTATATTTTTATCTTATTGTGTTAATACAGTACAGCAGTTACCATGGCAACACAGCGCACACATAAACAAAATGGTGTGAAAACTCCAGAAAAATAGAAAGGTGATCTAAAGAGCACAGTTTGATTTTCCTGTGGTCAGTGTGAGCGTTCACGGTCCTGTTCAGGAGTTTGATTTGACATTAAAAGGTGAAAGAGTGTTGGCTAATGCTAACGCTAACGCTAACACTATCTTGTTTCTGTGTTGTTGTTTCGAGCGACGTGTTTAACAGCACAGATCAGATCACCTGTTGGAGTTCAGGTAAATCAGGTCTTTATGGTCACATTGTGTTTAAACAAACAAAACTCAGATTAAGACAGAACTTCAGACACAGCAGTGCCTCTAGTTAGGACGAATTGTTATATCCATTTTTTTGTTTAACATGTTTTTATTTATTGTTTTATTTACTGTTTTCTTGTCATCATCAGGCATTGTTCCCTCATGTCATGAAGCCTATTCTGGAAAACGGTAAGTATTGAGTCTTTGAGATTTCTGCCTCCACTTCTTTATATTCTTTGTTTATTTTCTCAAGGAGAGACTCTACAGTTTCTCTCTGGTATTTCTCTTTCAGTGTTTCCGGTGTTTCTGTCTTTGTGACTCTCTTTCTTTTCCATCTGTATCTCTGGATTGAATGTTTACTCCTGTCACATTTTCCAGGACACACACTGCATCTTCTATGTGGATCAAATACTTCACATTTGTCAATTTCTTCGTCGTTTCTAATGGGACATGGATAATGACAGGTGACATCACAGTCCCTGCAGTTGTTGCTGTACTGTTCAGTTCCAGAGAGGTCCGCCTCATCAGCCACAGTCACAGTGAATTCAATCTCAAAATTCTCATTTCTTTTGATCTTTGTTCAAGTTTCTGCTGTAGCTCTCTAAATCTTTGTACTACTTATTCCTCCAACTTCCTTCTTACTTTCCACACTTCCCTGGTTAAAATCAACTTTCCAGGCTCAGTTTTCTCTAAGTCACTAAAGAACCTCGTCATGTTTTTGTTTCCCATGTCCCAGAACATTTGAGTAAAACGGTCTTCTTCTGCAGAGGTCTGGTTTGGGGCGAACACTGCAGAGTTGTTGAATTTGAAGTGAACTGGCAGACCCTGCTCTGTTTTAGGACATGGGACTCCAGCAGTTCTGATGTCCTCAAGAACTGGAGGCATCTGAGCATCTGCGAGCGTTACCATAATTTTGATGTTCTCAGACACATTTTTCCCACAGTCAAAGTGCAATGAGTCTAATAAGTAACGCAGGAATAAAGGGAGTCGAGCTAAAGGGGACTGGAGCACTACACAGACTGTATGAAGCTGTGTGATGTTCAACTTAATGACGAGGTCAATGATCTGGGTCAGGGTCTGTCTGTCTTCTTTGATGCCTGTAACGTCTCTAAACTCTGGAGTGTCGATGATGCTGAGTGAGAAGTCGACCTGGAATTCCTCCTGGTGGTTTATTTGGTACACCACTGAGTCAGAAGTCTCATCCTTGTTTATTTTAAACCGAAAAGGGTCGGTCCAGCTGACTCCCAGGATGTAGCTGATCATGGCATTGATGAGACTGATCTTCCCAGATCCCACAGGTCCGAGAAGGATCATGATACGATTTTCTTTATGACTTTCTTTTCCAAACACATATTTTCTGACATCAGCAGTGCTCAGTTTTTCTGCTTTTAGACCAGGTTTGTAGATTTCTGGTGTTGCAGACTTGATTTTGACACAGTCTGTTATGATGAGTATTGCGGAGTATGTAGCTCAAAGCTTATCCCACACGCTGCAGCAGGCTAAGACACGGGGTAAAACTCAGAACAAATGCACATATACATGGTAATTGTTTGGAAAAGTAGGCATACGCATTTGAGCACTTACTTTAAAGCTGCTGCCAAGCACCGATTCCTTCTATATGCAAATCTTTCCTCTTAGAATACGGTCAACAGAAAGTTGCTCCCTGTGCTCACCCCGCCACCATGATCCAAGGCCTTATATACTCATATATAGGCCACACCACACCCACCCACCGCAGTGTAGTGCACATTAGCGCATTAGCTGACGCTCAGTAGTCCCATGAGTGATAGGTTCACCTTTACACCTATACTCAATATTTAATAACAAGAGAGAAGACAAGAGATTAATATCTTTTACACGCGTGGAGGGAGTAACCAAGAGAAGAGCTTTAGTTACATGTAACTAGCTGTTCACCCAATACTCTCTAAAGCCTTCTCTCGTTTCTCCACGCCTTTTATTCAATATTAGGACCCCTAGTTACATGGGAACTACTCCTCTCAGAACGGGAGGGGGAACATGCAAAACATTACGACATGAGTAGTTCCTTTTTGCTTACAGGAAACACAAAAATAACACTTCAGTACAGTGAGTTAAGGTCAGTCTGCCCTTCCTCATTTCATCCTCCTTAGTTTATCCTCCTTAAGCAATGGTCGCCCAAGATGTTTCCTGTTATTGAATAGATAGGACTTTGTGACCTTCTGCAAACTCATGAAATCTGCAATACTCAGAAACAGAATTGTTTAAGTGCACATATTGATACATTGATTATAATAAGATTAAGTAACCAAAAGTGAATATTGCATTACCATTACATACACAGTGAGATTAATATAAATGTTGAATCCATCAATGAGGAAAAGGATAACCTCTAAGGATGATGTCTAAAATGGTTTCTGCTGTAGTTTTGGTGGTGATGGTCACAGTGGAGCTTTCTGAGCTGGTTCCGTCCTTTCCACAGTCACAGCGGATCCTGAGGATGTACTCTGTTTGATGCTTAAGTCCAGAGATCACCTTCTCCTCAGAACAGGACTCTTCTCTCATCCACCGGAGTGTGTCTCCGGTCTCAGCGTACTCCACGATGTATCTGAGGGTCTGGATGCCTGGTCCCACCTGTGCAGGTTTCTTCCAGCGGGCGTAGATCTTTGAGGAGGTGGAGGTGGCGCTGGGGTCTTCTGGAGGGCTGCAGGGTAAGGTTTTCATGGAGGTGTGAGGAGCAGCTGGACCTACTCCCGCCTCAGTGACGGCTCTCACTGTGAAGCTGTACTCTGTGTTTGGGATCAGGCCTGTCACTGTGACCTCTCCAGCTTCAGCCTGGAGCTGCTGCTTCCACTGCTCCTGTCCTTTCTCACAGAACTCCACTCTGTATCCACAGACGTTCTCCGCTCCCACTGAGAGAGCTCTGACCTGCAGACTCACACTGTGCACTGTGGCTCTGCTCACAGTCACTGAGTCTGGTTTAGAAGGGAGCTCAAAGCTCTCACTGCTGAGAAACCCATCTTCATAAAGATAGACGGTTGCTTCTTTGTGGTTTTCATCAGTCAAACTCACTGCCAGGAACTGAAGAGCCTTTGTGTCCTGGTCTTTGTTGGCGTCTGCAAAGTCACTAAACACCTTGGCTTTGAGTTTCATTCGGTGAATCACGTCTTTAGTCTTGTACCAGGGTGTGGGCTCTGCTCCAGACTCATGGGTTTGAATCCCCTTTAGGTGGTTCTTCAGTTCTTCGAGGTACGGCCTGCCCTCTCCAGAGACGTGAACACAAACACCAGGGCTTTCTCTGAGTCAAACACCTTCTTCTTGAGGTCATTTTTCGAGGAGATAACTTCTGTGTTTCTCATCAGATTTGTGAGGACTTTTATGGTGTTGGCCTCCTCAGTGACCTCTTCCATCCACTGGTTCAAACGGTGAAAGCTGAACGGACTCTCTGTTGCCCTCTTCAGGACTTCTGCCAGAGCAGCCTCCTCCTCTCCTCCTCCTCTGATCGAGGGAAGCTTTGTGGCCAGAGTTTCCTGGAGTCCCAGGAGGAACTCAGAGCACAAAGAGTTAAAGGTTTTGACTTTTTCAGAAACGTATGAGAAGTTCTGTCCTGCAGGACTCTTCAGGATGTCATTACAGATCATGTCCAGCTCCCTGAAGTTCTCCAGGATGTTCTCTGCCTCACAGACTAACCTCAAACTGATGTGACGCACCAGTTTAGACGCTGCAGAGTCTAAGGCGCTGAGGGGCAGCAGGTGCACCCTCACAGGGACTGCGTTCTCACCTTTGGGGCCCAGACGTTTCGGCAGGTCTTGATAAACTTTTACTGCTTCTTCAAATGTTGTTGGACTTTTGTCTAAACAGAAATCTCCGTGAAAAGTGCAGGAGAACTTGTTCACCTTTTCTTTGTCTCTGTCCTCCATTTTCAGATTCCCTTCTGCATCAATGGAGATGTTTGGGATTTTTTCAATCATCACCTTCAGGTTTCCCTGAATTTCTTGGACATTTTCATCTTGAGATGTTTCTTGGTCGAACACAAAGAAGGCCTGGGCTCCGTAGAGGATGGCTGTTACTACATGTGTGGCTAGACCTTTTTTAATGACCTCGTGGTGCTTTAAGTTTTCTTCGCTGAGCTGGTTCATGGACAATGTTTTAAACTGTGTCGTAGTTTTGTACTGCAGAGTGACACGGGCCTGTCTACTGGAACTTTTCTTATTGTTCAGATATTTTGCTGAGCCTTGTACGGTCACAAGTCCACTCAGAAAACTGGCTTTGAGTCCAGCGTCCACTTGGAGTGAAGAGGCCTTCTTAGACAGGTGGTCAGACACCACGATCTGACACTCAGTACTGGGTTCACGGGTCACTCTCATGTCTTTGTCCAGCTTCTCCTGGTCCCAGAAACTCAGGCCTGAAAAACAAGAGGTTTATTTGGATGAATAAATATAAAGTGATTCTAATAAAGACGAGATACATGTAGAATACCGCTCTCTTTCAGACGTACCTGGCACCAGTTTGTCAGATCTGCAGTCATAAAACATGCCCAGGAGAAAGGAGCGACCCAGAGCCGCCATCTCCAGAGGTGAGTCACAGTCTGAAGCCATCTGAGCACAGGGAAAACATGCATGTTAGTATTTAAAATATACAAATAGTTCACAAAAACACTATAAACAACTCTATTCATTAAAATGAGACATTTTCTGACACTGCCACGCCTGCACAGCTGAGGACAGAGTTATGTTTGTTTTTCTACTATTAGACACTTTGAAGGTGGAAAAATGTGACCATGACCATATTATTTTTCTCCTAAACCATAAAAGCTTGGGCCATGTGTCACATTATGCTCCATCACAAATAAGCTCCATGTTTTGTTTTGTTTTTTTAATCAGCTTTTAAAAAGATGCCAGAGAGGCATTTGATTAGATATTTCTTTTTTGTGTGTCATTATATTCAGCACACAAATAATTCACCATGACCACACCAAAGTCATATTCAAAGTGTCAGTGATCATCTTTAATGGCACATGGGTTTTGTTTCCTTTGGGCAAATCTGAAGAGTTTGTGCTGAAAACTGTGTGAGGAGATGTCCTGTGTACGACGGTGTGTGCTTCTGTCATTCCCGGGTTTGATTCAATATGACCCACTTCCTGTTGGCTTTAGGGCGGGGCTATAATATATTTTTTTCAAGTCCTGTTCTGTTTTTTTGTGGCGTGTGTGGGCAACAGACTTAAAGACAAGTACAAAACTATATCACGGCTCCGCCCTGAACCCTACAGCAAGTCGACCACATTGGCCAGAACATGAAACCTATGAAAACACACACCTCACACTTTTGGTATCTCCTCCTCAACTCTTTAAACAATAAACACCCAATGTGGACAAACGACGAGAAAACCCCGATGTCATCAAAAGTTACTTAATTTTTTAAAATAAAATGTCGAATGTGGTTTATTGCAGAAAGTGGTCATATGAAGTATAAAAACTTGCAGAACTTTGTCGTAATGTATTGACTTGAGTCAAAGCCAGTGGAACATTTTGCACAGTGACGTTGCTGAACACAATGATGTTTCATTTATGGGGCTTTGATATTAAATTTCTCTACGGTGCCTCCTGGAACTACAACAGAGTATAAGGGTTAGATAAAAAAAAAAAACATGCTGGCGCTACGAGAATAAAGTCGAAATATTATGAGAATAAAGTCGAAGCCAGAAAAAGTCATAATTTTACAAGAATAAAGTCGAAGTTAAAATAAAGTCGAAATATTATGAGAAAAGTTAAAATATTACGAGAATGAAGTCATAATAAAATCGAAGTCAAAGTGAAAAATGTGGCAGAAGAAAAACCTTGTTTTTCAATATAAAACCAAAAATAAGAAAACGAACAACAATTTTCTTCATTATTTGCGCCTCCGGGCTGAACCAGGACTAAACCAGGACTAAACCAGGACTAAACCAGGACTAAACCAGGACTAAACCAGGACTAAACGAGGTCCGAGACCAGACCGGGACTCAGACCAGGACTTAGACAAGGACTGAGTCAGGGACCAAGACTGAGACCGGGATCAGACAAGAACTGAGACCATGATTGAGACCGGGACCAGACCAGGACTGAAAACGGTTTAGTCCTGGTTTAGTCCTGATTCAGTACTGGTTCAGTCCGTATGCGGTGCAATAGTCTTGCATCGCATTTTAAAGTCACGGAAACGCCATTTCCCATTTCCGTGATTTAAACCAGGACTAAATGAGGACTAAACTGTTTTCAGTCCTGGTCTGTAGGTCTGATGTAGGTGGTGAGAGGTGTGATGAGTGAGAGGGTGATGTGGGTGAGAGGGTGATGTGGGTGTGGTGAGAGGGTGATGTAGGTGGTGAGAGGGTGAGAGGGTGATGTAGGTGGAGTGAGAGGGTGATGTAGGTGGTGAGAGGGTGATGTGGGTGGAGTGAGAGGGTGATGTGGGTGGAGTGAGAGGGTGATGTGGGTGGAGTGAGAGGGTGATGTGGGTGGAGTGAGAGGGGTGATGAGTGGTGTGGAGTGAGAGGGTGATGTGGGTGGAGAGGGTGTGAGAGGGTGTGGTGAGGTGGTGAGAGGGTGATGTAGGGGTGGAGAGGGTGATGTGGTGAGAGGGTGATGTGAGGTGGTGAGAGGGTGAGGGTGATGTGGTGTGGTGAGAGGGTGATGTAGGGTGAGTAGGTGGTGAGAGGGTGAGGTGTGTGAGAGGGTGATGTAGGTGGTGAGAGGGTGATGTAGGTGGAGTGAGAGGGTGATGTAGGTGGAGTGAGAGGGTGATGTAGGTGGTGAGAGGGTGATGTAGGTGGTGAGAGGGTGATGTAGGTGGTGAGAGGGTGATGTAGGTGGTGAGAGGGTGATGTAGGTGAGAGGGTGATGTAGGTGGTGAGAGGGTGATGTAGGTGTGAGAGGGTGATGTAGGTGTGAGAGGGTGTAGGTGGTGAGAGGGTGATGTAGGTGATGATGAGGTGGAGTGAGAGGGTGAGAGGGTGTAGGTGGTGAGAGGGTGATGTAGGTGATGAGAGGGGTGATGTAGGTGGTGAGAGGTGATGTAGGGTGATGTGGGTGAGAGGGTGATGTAGGGGTGATGTGAGGTGGAGTGAGAGGGTGATGTGAGTGAGAGGTGATGTGGTGAGAGAGGGTGATGTAGGTGATGGTGAGAGGGTGATGTAGGTGGTGAGTGAGTAGGGGTGATGTGAGAGGGTGATGTAGAGAGGGTGATGTAGGTGGTGAGAGGGTGATGTAGGGTGATGAGGGTGAGAGGGTGATGTAGGTGGTGAGAGAGGGTGATGTGAGGGTGATGATGAGGTGATGTGGGTGGAGTGATGAGGTGTGATGATGTAGGTGGAGTGAGAGGGTGGAGAGGGTGATGTAGGTGGTGAGAGGGTGATGTAGGTGGAGGGTGATGTAGGTGGAGTGAGTAGGTGGAGTGTGAGGTGATGTAGAGTGATGTAGGTGAGTAGGGTGATGTAGGTGGAGTGAGAGGGTGATGTAGGTGGTAGGTGTGAGAGGGTGATGTGGTGGTGATGAGGGTGAGTGAGGGTGTGAGAGGGTGATGTAGGTGGTGAGGTGATGAGGTGGGTGATGTGGTGGTGAGAGGGTGATGTAGGTGGAGAGGTGATGTAGAGGGTGATGTAGGGGTGATGTAGTGAGAGGGTGATGTAGGTGGTGAGAGGGTGATGTAGGTGGTGAGAGGGTGATGTGGTGTGGTGAGAGGGTGAGTGTGTGGTGAGAGGTGTGTAGGTGAGAGGTGGTGAGAGGGTGATGTAGGTGGAGTGAGAGGGTGATGTAGGGTGGTGATGTGGAGTGAGGGTGAGTGATGTAGGTGGTGAGAGGGTGAGTAGGTGATGTGAGGTGGGTGATGGGTGATGTGGGTGGTGTGAGAGGTGATGTAGGTGATGAGGTGATGAGAGGGTGATGTGGGGTGTGGTGAGTGAGGGTGATGTAGGTGGAGTGAGTAGGGTGATGTGTAGAGGGTGATGAGGTGAGTGAGTGAGGGGTGATGTAGGTGGTGAGAGGGTGATGTAGGTGGATGTGAGAGGGGTGATGTGAGGTGGTGAGAGGGTGAGTAGGTGGTGAGTGATGAGTAGAGGGTGAGTGAGAGGGTGATGTAGGTGTGAGAGGGTGAGAGGGTGATGTGGTGATGTAGGTGAGAGGGTGATGAGGGTGAGTGATGTAGGTGGTGAGAGGTGATGTGAGAGGGTGATGTAGGTGGTGATGATGTGGTGGTGAGAGGGTGATGTAGGTGTGGTGAGAGGGTGATGTAGGTGGTGAGAGGGTGAGTAGGTGTGTGAGAGTGGTGATGTGTAGGTGGTGAGAGGGTGATGTAGGTGGTGAGGGGTGAGTAGGTGTGTGAGGTGAGGTGGTGAGAGGGTGATGTAGGTGTGGTGAGAGGTGATGTAGGTGATGTGAGGTGGTGAGAGGGTGAGAGGGTGAGTGGTGTGGTGAGAGGGTGTGAGGTGGTGAGTGAGTAGGGGTGTGGTGAGAGGTGATGTAGGTGAGAGTGAGAGGGTGATGTGGTGGTGAGGGTGATGTGGGTGTGGTGAGGTGATGTAGGGTGATGTGGGTGTGGGAGAGGGTGATGTAGGTGAGTGATGTAGGGGTGATGTAGAGGGTGAGAGGGTGTGAGGTGG